CGACGATTCCACCCAGGCCCTGCAACGGTGAATTAGGGTTAGCTATGGAAAGTTCTGGAACAACTCCACGCTATAAGTAGCGATCCGACCTTAGAAGTAGGGGGAGGCGAAGAAGTGACTACATTTACCTTGTTCTCTTACTAACTTAAGCATCGGAGCACGTGTGACTAGAGTCACACCGGTTTAGCTCAATTTGGTTTTGCAGGTACTAGACCCGGATCAACAAGTTTGATGGGTGCGAGGAGGAGAACCGGAGGACCGAAATCCACGCATCAACACTTTTTTTCAGCCATCTTCAAACAAAATATCTATGAATTCTCATCAACACTGGCATGCTAGTAAACAAAGTTTATATTATTAATGTTTCTTAAAGAAAAAACTTGAATAATCCTCCAAGTGTTTCATCATAATTAACAAAATAATCTCTATAACATTTTTTATACAAACAATTGATTTGACATTATTAATTAGATTTGCTTTTCTAAGACCATATGCTTTGAACATAATTAATTGTAAAACACATCATAATCATCTTTTTGACACGGTCACAATTTTGTTCTTATATCTTCATCTTATATTTGAAAGACAAGAAATTTGATGCAATTTATAAATTTAGACATGCTTAAAAAAAGGGAAAAAAGAAACTTATTTAGTCAGAAACAATAATTCCACAAATTCGACTCATCTCCTTGATATAAGGTATTTATTTGTCCCTACATATATTTGGAGTGCCCCCTTCTTTGATACTTAATTTGTTATTTTGCATGAAAAAAGTCAACACAAGTAACTAACCCAATTAAATTCTCTCTCTCTGTCTCTCTCTCTCTAGAGAATTCTTTGCTGTTAATCATTAAGGATAAAAGTATTCTCTAATTAATTTGTTTCAATTTTTTTTTATATGAAAATGTGGGTCGACATTATATTGATTGATATCTCTGTGATAGGATTTTGAAAGAAAAAAATGTCAATAAAATATTTGGTATTACCGAAAAAGTTTCTTAAATTCAAAATAGAAAAAAGAAAAAAAAAGCATATGTTATATTAATTAAAGATATATATTGAATCAATCATCTAAAGCCTCTCTTGGTGTTTTAAGCTACAAACTAAAAAATATGTTATTGGTGTTAGATATAAAAATAAAAACAAAATATTTAACTACAATAACCTATATGAATATATATATAATTTTGAACCTAAAATAAAATATTAAGTATAGAATCAAAAAGAAAATAAGTAAAGAGTGTGTTTAGAAAATTTATTTTGAATCAATATTCTGCTTCATTTTCGAAACTACTCTAAAAAATTTGGATTATATTGAAATGGTTGACTTTTTAATTCTTAATTTCAATCAATTAATATTTTCATAACAATGAATATGTTTTATTAATTAAATTTTTTATTATTTTAAGATTTGACTTGCAAAGCAGCAGTACATAATATCAAAGTCAAACTGTTTCTTAATTCCGGAGATCAAACACTCTTTACTTGACTAACTATAAACTTTATAACATTTTTTTTAAAGAAAAAATAAAGAAAAATCGATCCCAGGATAAAAACTAATTAATGTCACGAGGATACATATTCTAATAATCATTGAACTATGTTTAGATTAACAGTTTTTTTTGAATGAACATATGAATAAAGTTAAATAAATATTTAGGAATACCACATATTTTTTAAGAGTACATTTTAGTGTAGCTTTGGTCTAACGGCAGCTATCCACAATTATTGTATAAATTTAATCCGTTGAGCTAATACAATGATAGAAATGTTGGTGAAGATATATGCTTTAATTCATTGAGGTAGGTTAAGATTGACAAATTTTTTTTATATAAATATATGAAAAAAGTGAATATGTAGGAATACTTATTAGGAGTAAGGTTTATACCATTAGACTTTATGATGAGTGACATCTTCATGGTTACTCGGATCTCATGGGGTTCGAATTCATTCCCTTTCTATTCACCCTAGTCTCTTTGGACCAATGACCATTCATGAGTATTATTATGGAAAAAGAAAAAAGATCCACGAAAGAATGATGAATCTTGAAACTAATATTTGTCGTTAGATGATATATACTCTGATACTGTATTAATATCTTGAAGTATGAATGATAGAGATGATAAATACAATGGGAAGAAATGAATTCTCAATCATATCTAATAATGAACAATATAGAGGTATTATAGAGGCAACAGAGGCTTTAGGAAAATACATAAGTATAATTTTTAAAACATAAAACTAAAACTAAAATAGTTATAAAACCATATCGTAATTTTTAAAAATTTATTTTTATGTTCTATATTTGACTAATAATTTTTTAAAAATTTATTTTTATTTTTTATATTTGACTAATAATTTAAATGTTCTTTCAACCGAGGAAAAACTTGTCAAACATAAATTTAATTGAACAATAATTAACATCTATTTCTAATTAATCTTTCTATCCCACCCCTTTCCGTCAATTTGAAGGCTCTTATTATTGGTGGGAGATTTTCTTACCAATCTCATAGCTTAGATCGTAATCCAAGAAAATTAATGACATTTTAACACGTGTACTAGTAATAACATTAACATTAGCGGTGTAATGTAGGTTGCCAGACTTTAATAAATTTCGTGTCGTTTCTCCAACCTCTCATATTTAACCGTTACATTCATTTTTGGTTATTATTTATTTCACAAAATTAATTATTAGAATTTATTGGTACTTTTAATTGATATTTTTTGTTTTTCTCAAACGCTATACATTTAGGGGTGTAGAATTTAATTGTTACGTTTATTACCTATCATCATTAATTTTTTTCTAGAATATAACATTATAATTTTATTAAAGATTCCAACATTTAACTTGAAAGATTAAAGCAAAGCATAAATCAATTGGTTTAAATATTCTAGCTAAAAAAATTATTTGTTATGATTTGTTTAAAATTATATCAATTTGTTCAATTTGGTTTAAATTTTTTTTTTTTTGACAGATGTGTTAAATTGGTTTCAACCAAAAAAAATTGAAGTTTGTTTCATTTTACTTTAAGGTCTATTTTAGTCCATTTAGATTTTTCTATTTTGGTCCATCAATTTTTAAATTGTCTATTTTAGTCCCTATAAATTTGTAGTAGTATTGCAGTTATTTTATTGTTAATGTTAGGATGAATGAATAACATGAATTTCATGTGTGTTAGTGCATCATAGACGTGTATTTCAAAGTCACATAGATTGATTGATGCACGTATTTGTCGAGCATGCATCAAATGAAAAAAATAATAGTAAGAACTGAAAATTTGTATACTTTTTAAAGTCCAACGCCTAAAATTAACATTTAAAAATTCCAAAGACCAGTTATTTTGAAAAAGATCCTAAAAAATATTATAAAACTGGAAAAAAAATATCATTCAATTTACAAAATTCCTAGGTACAATTTTCCATCCAATAATTCAAGAATGAATCGTAACTTTGTTTTTTAAACTTGAACATAGCTCAATCGATCGATTTAAGTGTCAAGGATCCCATATTGAAAAAATAGGTACTTACAAAAGTTTGTAATAGATATGGACTATTTCTCTTATACTCAAACAAGCATTCGACTAAGATCGATCAGTCAGAAAAGCCACGATCTTGAGGAGCATGTGAAAGATGACACATTGATAAAGAAATAGAATTATTACCAATTGATTTTGAGATTGTATATATATACAGTACATCATGTGGAGGTGGGGGATCGAACTCAAGACCTCATTGTTGGAGATAAGCTCTTTGACAAATTGAAACATATTAATAGATTCAAGTTGCAGTACTAAAAAAAAATTATTTTTTTCAACTTTTAAAATAAAGTCTGAAATTTAAATCAATCATATTTTTGACTTAACAAAAATACAGTTAGGTTTCTACACGTACGATTGAGCAATAGGGCTCTTCTACAAAATTTTACTTTGTAAGATAAAAATAAATAAATAAAAAAAATAGAAATCAAGTCAACTTGGTTTTCCGTTGGCTGATCATTTCAGTTCCCCGTGATTGAAAGATTCTCTCTTGCTTGCTGCACCTCGGTCTGGGAAGCAAACAAATCTCCAAAGTGGAGAACCGCGTTTCAGCAGCAAACTTTGAATTTTATACCCAAACAGCCCCACGTCTTTGTCACATGCCCCATTTTAATATTTTTATCATTTTTTAAAAATTTATTTAGAAAACCTTTCTAATACTTCTCGTCCTCTATAAATAAATCAACTAATCACCCAAGCTTCACTCATCACACCAAAGAAAAAGCTCATTCTGATATAGCTTTCTCTTCTTCTTTTCTCTCTAATGGCTTCAATTTCTCATCTCTTCATAGTTCTCTCCCTCTTAACCTTCTCGGCCAATGCCCAGCTCTCCCCCACCTTCTACTCGAAAACCTGTCCAAACCTCCAACGGATCGTTCGTTCGGGTATGACCAAAGCTATTAACAAAGAACCTCGCATGGGGGCTTCCATCCTTCGCTTGTTCTTCCACGATTGCTTCGTAAATGTACGAACCAAAACGAATCGTTTCTTACATCTATCTATCTCTCTACGGTTTTTTTTTTTGAATAATTCTTACCTCATGATTGGTCGACCATCGTTATGTTTTTTATTTTTTAATTAGAAAAATAGATGATTGTCATATTTTTAGTGGTTGGTCGGCAATAAGATTATTATTGACTAATCAGGAAGTAAGTATTATTCTTCATCTAAAATAACGATAAGAAATTTTTTTAATTACTCTACTAAAAATTTGACAATCGTTTATTTTTGTTCCCTCTCTCCTTTTTGCATTTTCTTTCCCTCCATACGAGAAACAATCGTGTTAGTATCTTATCTTTGGCTGACTACCACTAGACTCTTGAAAGGTGGAGGAGAGAAATGTAGAGAAAATTTCTTTATGTTTTTTTTCTCTAAAAAAACTGTTAATTATTTTGAAATTCTTTCATGGTAACCGCCATCGTAATTATGATTATCAAAAAAAAATTTGACAGTTTTTAGTTTTTTGAATAACAAGAAAAATATCTTTTTATGTATTTTTTATCTCTTACCGATAATGGTAGTATATTGACCAATATTTTCGACAAATTTATAATGGTGGTAAGCGTTCTTCATATATAGGAGAATTGATCCGATGACTATTATGGGTTTTTGATGAAGCGGTTTAATTTAAATAATGCAGGGCTGTGATGGTTCTATACTGCTGGATGCCTCTTCAAGCTTTACCAGCGAAAAGAATGCGTTTCCCAACAGAGACTCGGCCAGAGGCTTCGAAGTGATTGACGACATTAAAACTAGTGTCGAAGCTGCTTGCAAAGGTGTCGTTTCATGCGCTGATATCCTTGCTCTTGCCACTCGCGAAGGGGTCAATTTGGTAATTTCCTCCTTTTAATTTCTTGCTTATACATCCCTGGCTATCTCTGCCCTTTTTTTCCATTTTTCCTTTTTATTTTTTGAGTTTTAACTTTTACGTAGGATCAAGATTACAGCTATTTTCCCCATAATTTATTATATATTATTATATTGTACGTCGTAATCATATTTTTAACAATATAGGATAACCTTTTCCTATCTTTGTCTATACCGCGTCATCACAGGACAATTTTTTTAAGTCGTGGAATTCAATTAATCATCTTATTTGCGTTCTTTTCCCCTTAAATATTTAACTTCTTGTTGACTTTTTGCTGCATGATATGATTTTACATGCAATACGTAAAAAATAAGATAGATAAAATTAGATAAAAACTTATATGCTGAATTTCGGTAAGCATATAAAACTATACATATACGTACTGAGAAGTTATATTACTAGCGTTTTTCTTAAATGTTTATAGAATAAGTGTTCAACTAAAAGTTTTTCCAAATTATTTTAAATTCAAATAACATTTAAAAATTCACAGCTATTTATTCTCCACTTGGTATGCATCATGATCTGTGTTGGTTGTCATTTTTGCTTAATGAGGTATATATTTATTGGCAAATATCTAAAACTTTTGCTTCGTTTGATTTTTTTTAATTGATAGCTTGGAGGGCCTAGTTGGACACTACCGCTTGGTCGGAAGGACTCGAGGACCGCGAGCGAGAGTGGAGCAAACAACAACCTACCAGGGCCAGGCTCGGACCTATCGACGCTGATCTCGATGTTCAGCGCGCAGGGGCTAAACGCCCGTGAGATGACCGCGCTCTCGGGCGCCCACACCATCGGCATGGCCAATTGTGCCTTCTTCCGAACCCGCATCTACAACGAGTCGAACATCGACCCCACATTCGCCGCCCAGCGGAGAGCCAACTGCCCGTTCACCGGCGGCGACACCAACTTGGCCCCACTCGACGGAACGCCCAATAAGTTCGACAACACGTATTACCGGGACTTGATTAATAAGCGTGGCCTGTTCCATTCCGACCAGCAGCTCTTCAACGGCGGTTCTCAAGACCCGCTGGTTCGGACTTACAGCACAAGCCCGGCCATCTTCACGAGGGACTTTTCGAATGCGATGATAAAGATGGGGAATCTCGGCCCGCCGGCTGGGGCGCCAACTGAGATCAGATTAAATTGCAGGGTAGTTAATTAATTAATAATTATTAAATTTCCCCTGCCGGATCGAGCAACTATATATAATTAGGAACAATATTTATAGTTTATATAATATAATATTTAGCTATACGAATAAGAAAGATATGCTTGCCCACTGCCAAATGTATGGATAAATTAGTTGTTATTTCTCTAATTTTTCTGTTTCTCTACTTGGTTTCTTTTCTTTCTACGTGTTGTAGAATATTTCTGGCTATCAAAGGAATTAATGCCATTTAATGAAATTTAAATTAGCTTTATAGTATCCTTTCGTCCCTCTTTAATTACTCTGACTTTTTTTTTTTCTTTTTGAAGAAGAATTTCTCTGACTTTTTAGTTTCGTACGTTAATCGAGAACCATTCAAAGTAACATAATTATGCTCTCGCTTGTTAAAAGACATTTGTAATTTTTTTTAAAACTTTTTTTTTTTTTTTTTATGGATTGTGGTATTTGGATCTTCAACGGCGATAAATAATCTAAAAAGTATATGCATTTGACTACTTTGGTAATTTTACATTTTCAGCTTTTGTTTAATTTTATTTCTATTTTTCTTTTTTCTTTGTTTTAACATATAGTTACAACTTTTTGTCTATTTTCGTTTTGTCCATATTCAATAAATTTTATACATATCTCTTTTGCTCGCACATGTAGAATGTTTTATGTAGTTTTTTCCTCTTCTTACATAGCCAAATGATTATAAAATTGACAAGCATTTGTTTAAATAATTTATGTTATATCGATGACAAATTCATGAGCTGGAAAGTTTTTTTGTGTTGGAACATGAGCATAATTGCACATGAGAAAGATATATTTAAATAAATAAGCCAAATTTTAAAGTGGAGTTAAAATTAAAATTGGAATATTGCATTTCATAGATTTTTTTTAAGTACAATATGGGAGTAGGGGTTCGAACTCATGACCTTTTGATCAGATATAGATGCCTTAACCATTTGAGTTATACTCAATTTGACATTTCATTTCATAGATTTAAGTAAAACGTATTCATAAACATTGGAAAGATACAAGTTTTTTTTTTTAAGATTTAATTGATCAAAATAAAATTTATTAATAAATTGTATATATTATGTTCCACCTATTAAAATAGTTAGTTAATCGTTTGAGTTATAATTTAGAAATACTTAATTATGATATATAATATTGTAATACAAATTGCATGTATAGTAAAACTAATTGCATTACAACATATGTGTATCTTTCCTATTTTAATAAATAATATTTATTAAAGAAACTATATACATGTGCGAGGAATGATCACTATAGTGGTAGGAAAAAATATTTATTTTTACCGTAGGAATAAGTAGAAAATAACTAAGAAATTAAAAATTAATAACAACAGTATCGAGAACACACTCCCATAATTTTCTATCCGACTCAGGCCAATTTCTCAAAATAATTAAATATTACAATAGTGTTAACTAGTATATAAAGACTTAAATACCTACCATAATTTTTCGACGTAGACAACTTCTATTATAATATTTTGCCAAAAATTCTACACATGAATGTTATGGCTAAAAATCATTGAACAGTATAACAATATATTCCTAGACCAGCCTTTTCAAATTTGCCTTTCGGCCCATAGTTTCTGCAAAATTATTTCGAATCTTTGACAATTTAAACTAATCTTCATTATGGTCTAAACTTTTATAACAGGTTTAAATTATCTCTCTCTCTTTAAACGACTCTCATGCTTTTATCATATTTTTCCTTTAAAGTAATCTTAGGCACACCTTTTCTAACTTAACTATATCTTTGTAAAAAATTTGATAAGTTTTTTATCTTTTGAAAAACAAAAAAGTATTTCCTTTCCTACGTTTATTTTCTTTAATCGTAAAAAATTTAATGGTTGTAAAAAAAAAAGTGTTGATCATAAACACTAAGTATTTTTCTAATAACTTTTATACAATTTTTATTTCCTCTAATTTAGTAAAAAATTGGTAAGTCCATTAAAAAAAAGGGTACAATCATAATTTGTACTGAGTTTTTTTTTTCAATTTTAAATTGGCAATACATTATACTATACGGACATAATTAATGTTTAACAATAAGTGATAAAATAGGAATTTGCTCTAAAAAGATGAATCATTGGGTTCCCTTCATGTGACCCTTGTCGAATCTGTCGCCTAGGCCGCAGGTTTACGTTAGTTACCATGTGCCCGCCCGCACAGAACCACCGGCACTGACTCCGGACGTAGATAAGATCATAAGATACCAATTCCATAAAGCTCTCGTTCTGACTGGACCATGCGCCACTCTCTTAATCGAGTGGGTCTACCATTCTCTCTCTCTCTCTCTTCCAAATCTCTCTCACTGTCAAGAGGATGAACAGACCGAGAAATTATATGTAGAAATTGAAATGGCGATGTCACGGTGTTTTCTCGTTCTCGCATTTCCTCCTGGTTCGTAGGGATTCGCTATTCATTGTCGGTTACCGAAGTTTCTGCCGCGACGGACTTTGCTTGGGAATGATCCTCTGAAGCTCTACACAGACTACACTTTCGTGCTTCTGGAATGGACTCCGATAAGGTAATTTTCGTTTTCTTTATTTTGTTTCAAGATTTCTCTGCATCGTGTATGTATGGTTTGATTGGCGGTGGTTGTCGAATCGCGTTCGATTCTCCTCTTATGTTCGGCTACGAACAATTCGAGAGCGATCTAGTTGCTCTTTTAGAATGCTTACGCTCTCTGATCGGAGGATTACGCTGGATGCTCTTGCGGTGTATTTTCTGAATGAGTATGCGATCGGAGAGGTTTTGTGGATCGAGTTCTTGAACTACTTTTTATGTTTCTTTGAAACTGTATGTTATTGCTGCTGCATTATCCTGTTTTGGAACGTTTGACTGAGATCATGATCCTGTTTACTGGCTTAATTTTCTCAGGTCCTTTTAGTTTGACTACTAAAATTAAGAGTAAATAAAACGCGTATTATCTTGTTAGCTCGTTTCGTTTCTCTCGACCTCATAAAGAAAACAGTGAATGCAGTACGGATCTCTTTGCATGATTTTCCCTTCAAATCTTATCTTCTTAGTTGCCAAGCATCAAATGAAGATGCTTCTCGTTCTCTCTCCGCTCCTCGATTTTGCATTGTTGTGACAGCTCAATTTGACTTAGACCTGCGATTACTTGGTTTGAGTCGTTTGACTGAGTTTTAAGCTTGAATTCCGTTGATAGGTTTGATTGCTTCAAAGACGTTATATAATTGCTTCATGGATGATAAGTCCCTGATGCTTAAATATATATACGCACATATCGGTTTGAGTACTGTACTATATTTTTGTTCTCAGATTTTCATTCTTCTTTATATAAGTGAGGTACAATATATGTAATATTTCAACTATTTGAGCCTTTTACCTTTTTGTTGCTTGTGTTTTAAACGCTTGCAGTTTGCTTGAGGATGTTGGTGATACTTGATTCCATATACTTTAGTCTTTTGGAATATTGCTCGGAGTCCGGACACGCAATATTTTTTTTTCCTACTCTTCTTTGTGGAGGAGGGGGTCCTAGTGCGTTTCTTAAGATATTTGTGTTTCAGCTTTTAATTATTATATATTTTGAAGACGTTGAGCTTTTTCTTCAACTTGCTTCTCATTTTTCATGCATTTCCTGACACATCCTAATATAATCAAGCATTCCAAATACTAGCATTGACTGACGCAGATACTTCCCAATCCTTGTCATTGATTATTCGTGTATTTTAGTAAAACTTTATTATATATGGCACGAATCAGAAATCATTTCACTGTGAAATAGAGAACTCATATGTATCAATGAAACATGATCAGCGAAATAGTTAGTTTAATGTTCAAGAGGCATTGTAGATGTCTTTTGCGTTTTTATCAATGCCATTCAAGGGTAACTAATATCAATTTTATGTTTGGAGGTGTTATTTGCCAAGTATTCAAAATTCTGGTCATCCATATAGTTTAGGAACTTGCTCATCTTTTGTTATATGTTGCTTCAAAATTGCAGGAAATGACATCAACTATTGTAGAAAGCAAGGATACAGTAACTGGTCACATAATCTCCACTACTATTGGAGGGAAAAATGGCGAGCCAAAACAGGTTATAATTTTCTTTCTGACTTATTAACTTACGCATGTGTTGAATTTATCAATTGCGAAGATTTACTTTATTTTTTTCCTACTTAGTTGTTATAATAAAATAATATTAGTTGGCCATTTTTGCTCTTCTTGTACGAAAATCAAGATCTGCAACTTGGTCCTCAGACTCACTACTAGCATTTTAATGTTCTCTAAGGTTTTGAGTTGCTAAACTGCTTATTTTTTGTTTCCTTGATTTTCACACTGCTCTAGACTATTAGCTATATGGCGGAACGTGTTGTTGGTTCCGGATCGTTTGGAATTGTTTTCCAGGTAAATAAAAAAAATTAATTAATAATCTGTCAAATTTATCTTTCCATTCTTCTATTTCAAAATTTCGTCTATACTCTCCTTAGGCAAAGTGCTTGGAAACTGGGGAAACTGTTGCAATAAAGAAAGTCTTACAGGACAGACGTTATAAAAATCGTGAGCTGCAGTTGATGCGCTTGATGGATCATCCAAATGTTGTTTCCTTAAAGCATTGTTTCTTTTCTACAACTAGTAAAGACGAGCTCTTCTTAAATCTGGTTATGGAATACGTTCCTGAGACTATGTATCGAGTACTGAAACACTACTGCAGTATGAACCAGAGGATGCCGCTCATCTATGTGAAACTTTACACTTATCAAGTATGAACTGACACGCCCAGATACTTTGTATTCAACAAGGTTCCTTTGTCCTTTTCCATCTTTATTCCGAAACTAAATAATTTTTTTTATTAGATCTTCAGGGGGCTGGCTTATATACACACTGTTCCTGGGGTTTGCCATCGAGATGTAAAGCCTCATAATCTTTTGGTATGTAATCTATATGTCTCTTATTATTTGTGAGCTAAAATTAGTTTTGTACTTAATCTAATAGATTAGCCTCTTTTAATTTGCATGTTAATTATAGTTTCCTTCTAAACCGAAACAAAACTTTACAGGTCGATCCTCTCACGCATCAGGTCAAACTTTGTGATTTTGGAAGTGCAAAAGCTTTGGTATAATTTTCGTTATTCCTATCTTATTTATTTATGTTCCCAACTTGGCCAAATGACTTTATTTGTTAGAATAAAAGAATGCATAATATTTGCTTAAGCTATCAAGTTAGAGTATTGACAATATGTTTAAAGAGTAATTTATAACACATATACCTTCATCTGTAAACAATTTATTTATAATAATTCTTCCGTCAGGTTAAAGGTGAAGCAAACATCTCTTACATATGCTCCCGTTACTATCGAGCTCCAGAGCTCATATTTGGTGCAACAGAGTATTCTACATCCATTGACATATGGTCGGCTGGTTGTGTTCTGGCCGAGCTGCTTCTAGGACAGGTTGACAACTTGTGGCAGTTTCTGATTATTTACTTGCTATGAGCAAGAGGTTATGAAATTCATTCAATTTAGTTTTCTGTTATCTCTTTGTAGCCACTGTTTCCTGGGGAAAATGCAGTAGATCAACTGGTTGAGATAATCAAGGTGAAGCCTAATTTATGGTTCAATTAAAATATGTCTCATGGCCATGGAAGTATGATTATTACAAATTTTTTTATTATTTTTCTTTTCTTAAAATTTCAGGTTCTTGGCACTCCAACTCGAGAAGAAATTCGATGCATGAATCCAAATTATACTGATTTTAGGTTTCCTCAGATCAAAGCCCACCCGTGGCACAAGGTACAGGATGCAGCATATTTCGAATATATATCACTCATGCATCATCTTCCCCTTGTCTCGCTTATTTAAAGCGGCACAAATTTGTCTGATTGAATCTGTTCGTGATATGTTGTCTCATCTGTGCAATGTTCTCTGCTTCTATAATTAACATATTTACATAATATCCATGTAGGTCTTCCATAAACGAATGCCACCTGAAGCTATTGATCTTGCTTCAAGGCTTCTTCAATATTCACCCGGTCTCCGGTGCACTGCTGTGAGTTCAAACTTTTCATACTCTACTGTTGATATCTAATAATATATCTTAATGACCTACTTTAATTGGTTATCTACTTGCTCATATCCATGAAATTTTTCACCATGTTGGTATCTTTGGCCATGCTATAGGCTGCATTCTTGAATTCCTGCCATCTATTTGTGCGTTATATAGTTTGTTAGAGAGATAAATGTTGTTTTCTTTTTGGGACATTTGGAACCTTGTCAGATTTAATACCTTTTCATAGGTATCGGTTTCTAACGATTTTTGTAATTACGTTGGGTATCATCTTTTTGGATTGGAGTTCCTACTTGTGGGGGTTTCTTTTCCTTTTTTGGGCTTGTTCTTTTTACAGCCTTCGTATGTTCTTTCATTTTTTTCAAATGAAAGTTCGGTTTCTCATAAAGAAAAAAAGAAAATTAAATGTTGTTTTTCTGACCAACTACTTCCCTCCCGGGCAGCTTGAAGCATGTGCGCACCCCTTCTTTGATGAGCTTCGGGAACCAAACGCCCGCCTCCCCAATGGTCGTCAGTTGCCACCACTCTTCAACTTTAAACAGGAAGTATGTCTGTAGACTCTGTACTTCATTTACGTTTCTTTCCCTACTACTAGCCAATTAAAGCAAATAAGATATTACGCTATCCATATGATATAGCTGCATCTGAGTAATACTTCACATCAAGTAAAGGACAAAGACAACCTCATAGCTTACAATTTGTGTACAAAATGAGTTTTGAGCTGTTTAAGAGTTATCCCGTCCAAGGGCGCTACTTGAGGGAAAAAAAAGTTCGTACAGAAAAATCACAACAACATGCTGTTATTTCTTTAGACATATTTTTTATTTTTTTAAAAGAAACTTTGAGAATATATTGAACAGAAGTGGGAGGGGAACAGCCTAAAGGCCGGGTAGAAAGAACTAAACTAAAAAGGCATTTTAGTTATGACATTCGGAATACACACAATCAATTCACCAACTTCCGTAAGGTTATCATCCATGTAACCATTTGAGGAACTTGAGAACATTCATCCACCTCAAGAATCATTTCTCTGCGTATTTTGATTGATTATTTTTCCATAATTTAATTTACTTTACAGCTATCCGGAGCATCCACTGAATTAGTAAAGAGGCTCATACCGGAGCATGTTCGGCGGCAGATGGGACTGTCATTCCCACATCAAGCAGGTACGTAGATTAACTCGAAAAGAGGGACACGCTCTTCTTCCAGCAAAAAGTCGTGAGGCGAAAGCAACCATTCTGGAGAACTATACATATTGCCCGTCCAGCGCCATCCTTGAATGGTAAAATATCAACTACTTTTGCTTTAGCTAATATGATGGTATATTTGCTACGTCTGTACATTATTTTTACCGCAAAAATTTTATATAGCTAGGTGTATAGAAAGGGTAATTGTATTGTATATCACGTCTTGGCTAGGTAATCCCATTACAAGCTCAAGTGGTTTACTGTAGATTGTAATTCTGTTAGCTTATAATCATCACCGTTATCTCATTTGTGTTGTTATGCTCTTCGTTTGTATTTATTTAGATTAGGAGAATTATTATTTCTTCTCGTTGTTGATTACTGTTATATCATAATGTAGTGTGTGCCTTTAAGCTTTTGAATGTAGATTCGTTGCCGGAGGGGGAAAATGCCAAAATGGAAAAAGAATAAGCAATCAAATGATTGATCTCCAGACGAACCAATGATGCCAAGCATGAAAAGTTGGCGGGCGACGTTAGCGTAAGAATTTGTTTGGTAATTTTGCCATTTTTAATCTAATTTTCGCGGTTTGCCATCAACGTCTGGATTTTACTGAGGGTGTGGCCGTCGAGTGGATTTGTTTTCGGATTTTTTTTTTCTTTTCCCCTCGTTGTCCCTTTTTCACCAGGGTTTTTAAAGTTGTCTAGATTTTGTTGGATGACTATTTAGAATTTTTTTTTCCATTTTGAAAACAAAATTATTTGATAGTTCATCCAATTTTCTGAATTTTGAATTTTAAAAAACTTCAAAATTGCAAGTCAACTTTATAAACAAGAAATACAAATTCTTAAAAATATATTTTTGTTTTTAAAAAATTTACTCCTTTTTTCGCGTCCACTCGCTAACTGGATGTTTCTCTCAAAATTTAATAAAATTTAGTCCTATAACTTTCTTCCCTCTGCATAACTCTCTACAAAAAAAATTTCTTACCAACTTCACCGCCCTCAAAAATTTCTTTATAACGTCTATTTCAGAACCATATTTCTCAATTATAAATATAATGTAAATTTTTAAAACAACTATACTTCCATAACGAAAATAAGATCATAACAATAATTGTATGGTCGTTTAACATTATTCTGACTTTTTTATTAAAAAAACAAAGCTTTATAAAACATGTTTCGCTTTTTTTCTTTTCCAATACGATAAAATTAAGGCTATGTTTGAAATCATTGTTTTTTGTTTTTCCAGTTTGGTTTTTGGTTTCTTAAGGAAAAAAAAAAACATGATTTGCATAATTACTTTTAGTTTTTTGCGTTTCAAACTGGAAAAAAAAAGTTTGATTTTCTTTTTTCAATATTTAAACAAGAAACTAAAATTTTTCTTAAAAATTAAAGTTAAAAATAATACTTTTATTTATGTATTTCTTTAGTTTGTAATTAATATTTCACAATCAAAGTCAAATTTAAAAATTAAAAAAATTGTTTTTTTAGCAGTGAAATGAGATCATTTTGTAAAATGTGAAAAACATGTTAAAGAAATTATGAGAAAGCAAGCATAATATATATATAAAAAATAAAATGGTTACCAATATGTTTTTACTTTTATTACCAATACGTCTTTTACTTTTAGAAAGTAGGAAATCAAAAATATATACATAAAGTAGGAAATCAAAAATATATATATATATATTAAGAATAATTAATTTAGTAATAAATTTAATTTAAACATTTTAAGTAATTAAGTCAAATAAAATAAAGTAAATAATTACATTAAAAAAATACAAAATCCATGGACAAACTCAAGGGATTTTCCCTTATCTATGAGAATAAGTTTTTTCTCGGATTTTTCTCGGAAAAGTTCTTAAATCTGTGCAACTAAACTCAAGACATTAACAAACCCTCCATAGAAGTTAACGAAAGCAAATGGATCAATGATGAATTATTTGGCAATGGAAAACAAAATGTATCCTAAGACAAATTTGACAATGCAAACATGTCATACTTCATGACTTATGAATACAAGATAAATTACATCTTGAAATTCCAATTCCTCTAAAAATGCTCGAGAAAAAAGGGGAACAAAAATTTACGACAAAAATGAATGTTTTAATCTGTGTAGTGTAGCTCCTTGCCTAATTCGTAAAAGGGAGGATGGAAGAAATTTTTTAACAGTTTGTAACAATACCTTTATTCACCAAGCAGAGACTCTCCAGTAGTATCATTAGAAGTTTTGTAAGTAGCAATCAAGAAGATTTTGTCACCTCATGAATAGCGTTTGCCAGATACGGTACATTCCCGGTTGTAACACCTGCCATGCTGTTGTACAAATTGATTTTGTCAGCAAACAGATCACCAAGGTTATGTTTGATAATATTTTGATAGTGTACTTTTAGCTGGGAACATTTTAATATAAAATTATTGTTATATTTCAAGAAATATATTGAATGTAACGATGAGTTGAAATTGTGATAGAAAAAATAAGTACAGAGACCAAAATGAATAAAAACTGAAAGTCCAAGAGACTAGCATTTTAACCTATTTTTAATTTTCTGTTTTTGAAAAATTTTGAAAATTATACTTTATTTTCCGACAATTTCTTTGCATGTTAGTAACCTTTTTTAAAAATACATTTTTGAATACTTAGTCAACTTTTAAAACACAAACAAAGTTTGTAAAAGTAAAGTAATGTTTTATAAAGCACAGAAAACTAAAAAGAAAATGGTTACCTTATGCGGCCATTTCGAGTCATGTAGATGTGATATTCATTGGTCAAACGATCGACCTGTTCAGGGCTCATTCCACTGTAACAGAACATGCCAATCTGTTGCCATTGAACCAGCAAAACTAATAAGATTAGCAAATGGAATATAAAGTAGGATAAAATTGACGAAGCCAAACAAGAGATTAGTATTGGAAAATTGAGATTTGTAAGTACCTGTTTAGTTATATGTTCCCACGATAATGGTGATCCCAGCTTTTCAAGGTTTTCTCGTAGAGCAGTTCGCATACCGATGATTCGATCTGCCATGACCTGAAGAGAGAAAACAAGATGACAATAATTGTAGAATTGAATATTAAGATACGTAAGTTTCACCTGAATGTAAATCTTCCCCATCTGAAGATTTGTCAAAATCATTATTAAAGTTTGCCCGTCAAATTTGTTCTCAAGGAAAAATGAACATATTTCCCAAACTGATGGAAAAATTTTTAAAAAAATGATATGCTGTAATTTTCTAGAGTTCGAAATCCGAAGTGTCAAAAAATATCAAATTATAAAATGTCTTGTGAAATTTATAGATGGCAAAAACTTCTCCACATATGTTAAAACATTTCCAACATTTGGAAAGTGAGACGTGTAAAAACACAAATCAACACTTCATGAATTTCTTAACTTACAAGCAGATGTGCACTCTGATTTTAATTTGGTGATGAAATCGAGGTAGAATACAGAGAAGTTCTGAGATGGTACGGCGTATAAACATATGGATATTGTCAATCAATCACAGTTACCTTGACTTCCTTCAGCCATAACTTCTTCAAATCTGGATCCCCAAGGATGATTGAAACAACTAGTGCTCCATGAACAGGTGGATTACTGTACATGGGTCGGGCAAGCTGCTGCAGCTGACTTTTCACAGCAACTGCTTGTTTTTCATCTTCGCAGAGTACACTGCAATCAATTCAATAAAGCATTTTTAATGTCAGAAAATACTGAAGGAATCCTTGAGCTTAAAATATAAAGTAGAGCTAAATGCATAGTAAAGAGAAGCCGACATAATAGCAATTTATCAACTTAAAGACTTAATTGATTAAAGAAGGAATTCTATATGAACTGAAGTTGTCACACATGCTTGCCTTCTAATGACATCTTATGGGCAATGGGCATCTTCTAATCTGTGATGGGTAACCATAAGACCTAATGAGCACTACATCTGGCCAAGGAAACTAATATCTGACTGGTGATCAATATCACATCAAAGTTGACAACTTAGGAAAAATGAACCAGATGTATATATCACTAGGAGATAGCAGGTTTGTACACCGAAGAAAAGGTGGAAGCGGAATTGTGATGTTCAGAGGGGCACATACCTAAGACATCCTACTCTCTGGCCATAGAGTCCCATATTTTTAGCGTATGACTGAGCAATTCCAATTAGATGACCATCCTCGAGAAAGATCCTGATGGACTTTGCATCTCTTTCTGGATCACCACTAGCAAAACCTTGGTATGCCATGTCAAAAAAGGCAAAATGACCTTTTGCCTGAAAAAATCGATGCTCAATATCTGGCAAAGAAGAAGTGACAACCAGATAAGATACGAACCAATCATCTCCAAAATTCTAACCTTGAACTGGGATGATATTTCTCTCCATTGTTCCTCCGAGGGATCCACTCCAGTAGGATTGTGAGCACATGCGTGAAGTAGAAAGAATGAGCCATTTGGAGCATTCTAAACAGGGTCATGCAAATAAAACAAAAAAGAGCATCAGCAGAATGCAGTGTGCCCATGAGGCATTATTAACATGAATATTAGTGTTAGATAAGCTAGATAAGCCAGCATGGAAATATCAACATGCTTTAGTACCCTAATGTCATCCATAAATGCTGCAAAGTCTAATCCCCTAGATTCTGGATGGTAGTAATGGTATGTCCTTTGAGGAACTTGTGCATCTCTCCAGATGTTATGGTGGCTGTCGAAAATCTTCAAGTAAGGAACAGCATACTAATGAAGTATCTTATAATTTAAATGATTTGTGTACAGATCTAACTATGCTTACTTGGACCATGTAGGGACTGGTATATAGATTTGGGAGTCGGGAAGGAAACGCTTTTGAAAGTCAGCAAACAGACGACATGCTCCAGTTCCAGAGAGAGATTGTACAGCTGCTATCCTCTTATCTTTGATTAAATCAGAATTCTCTCCATAAGCCAGCTTCAGTGTTTCTTCCACCATCTTTATACTCCCTCCCATTGGAAGATACTCCCTGGTAGAACAGACAAGATGTGGCCATTCTTTTCAAAGACTCAAAATAAAAAATTAATTTCATGAGTGTGGACAATCAAGCAGGTGAGATGCATTACTTGTAGTTTAGATGTGTGCATTAAAAAGTAATCGAACACTAAAATGAACTATTGTTCATATAAAAACAAGTTGGCAGTTGCCATAAATGGTAAAATCTCTGCTGCTATGATGTAATGTGCAAGAAAATCCATGGTGACATACACCAACGGAAGTTCTGTTCAGGTGAATAAGCAGAGCTTCAGCTTTGTCAGTGACCGTACTCGATTCAATAGTCTTTATTTTCCTAAACAGAAGAGAATAAAGAGCACTCAATTTTTAATGTAAAAGGGAATGCTCAATTCTTATGCCAATAGGTTCCTCCTCGAATTCTGTTACTCTGTAATCCAGAATAATTGGCTCTTATATTATTGTATCATGGATCTACAGGGCACAATATTTTATCCCAAGGCAACTGGGATAAAATAATCAAGAAGGACAACAGAACGCCACAACCACAACAAAATTAAATTAGTAGATTGAATATCCACTGTTCCTTTTGATTATTCTCACACTTAGACACACCACCAAATAACATCAAGTTCCGTGGAAATGCCAATTACCTTCAAATTGTATTCTGCAGAATCTACAGAATCGTTAGGTAAGGAAATAATTAAAAACCTACGTAGTTATGTTATCTTAAATTACTAAAGAAACATGATGTCAATTCACAAGTATACTATCATCACTTCAGTTTCCAAGTGCCAAACTAATCCAACAGTCGTAAATTTAATGATGCAGGACGAGATGAATTTCAACAGTTATTTGTGAGAATCCAAATTCATGCAGTTTATAGTCAACATTTAAGCACATCTCAACTCTACGGACATCGAAATGTCAAAATCTGAATCAACTTTAAAATAGGGGAAATGAAAAACGAATGTTAACAAAGGCAAATATTCCAGAAAGTATGTACTGTGGTCCAGTTCCACGGAATAAAAAAAGAAGTTGATCTAGTTGGTGAGAGTAGAAAAATAAACTTGGTAAGACGACGATAAAAAGCTGGAATCAGAGCAGCAAGTGGTAAATTAAATAATAACATGAAAATACGGTTATATATTCTATTGGAACTACGATAAAGGAAACTGCTCTCTCTCTCCCTCGGTGAGATATGAGACACCGTCTTACATGTTCAGGTTTCCTGCGATCCTCCGTTCAGCTTCTCTCACACATTCCAGGACCACTGGCTTTCCGTTATCATCTCGATATGCACCCTGAAGGTGAGAGAAAACGTAAAGATAAATGTAAAGATTCCACTGAAAAAAGTCACCACGAGATCAAAAGAGACAATGCTTTGCCTGTATAATAAAAAATATATAGAAGGAACTTTTCGATCAGTGATTTTGAAGAATGTTTTTAATGAATTATTGAACTAATCAAGATGGCCATCGAATTTCTGAACTAATATCATAGGCAGAAAAATTATTAAAATAGTAGCTCATAAAGACAAATCTCCTGTTTGTAGATCCAACGATCAAACTTAAACAGGTCACGCACATGGAATCTCCCAATAATCAACTACTTGACGAAATAAAAGCTTTATTCGGAAGCTAATCGCATGCGCGCGCAGAGAACAGCACGGCTCAAATGACAATTCAATAAATATACGGAATACGGATGAAAATTTTGCATCAGTCGCATCGGTAACTTCGATTTTTCAATCCAAGCTTAATCTCAGTAATAAAAAACGCAAGAGAAGCATAACAAACAGAAATTATAAAGACTATACCAGCAATCGGACTGTAAACGAAGCAAAATCCAAGGCGTACAAGGCAAGAGGAAGAAGAAACTCACGACTCCAACATTGACTTTGCTCGGACTCGGATCGGCAAGAAAAGCTTCAGTAACGCCGAGAATCGGATCTTTAGGAGCCGGTTCCACGCTCTTCCACCAAGAAGACATGGATCTAGTTCCTATACCGAAGCAGCTCAAGCTGCGGCTTAACACCTTCCTCGAGATCGCCGCTTGCAACGCCATGAACGCTACTGCACTGCTATCTCTCTCTACTCTACAGCTTACTCCGACGGAAATGCGAGAGGAGATGGAGAAGTGGCGGAGATTTTGTGGAGGCGCGAAAGGAAGTGGTCCTCGGCTCCGATTCCGACTGAATAAATAGACATGAGAACCTCGAAATGCGCACCCGTTCTTTAAATATTCAGCTAATATCTCACCACTGACATTTACTTAAGTGCGCGTCCTTTTAATTTCTTCGTTTTGGCTAAATATGTGCGGCCATTCTTTCGGTTTAGTTTATATTATTTAAGAAGTTTGTCTTTTACATTTTTATGATTTTTCCAATAAAATTATAATTGACGATGACATGTGATTTAATAAGTTTTACCACAAAAATAATAATAATAAATATGTAAGAAAGTTTCCAATTTCTACTCCCAAGTTTCAAAAAATAAAAAATGGCAAAATTTGTAATTTATTTCCCATCTAAATTTGTATCGATCCACTAAATATTTTAGTGTAAATTTATTGTCTAACTAAATTTAAGATTCGCGAATAAAAGAAGTATAATAAATAAAGTGCTAAAACATAAGATAAATAATTTAAAACTTTTTAAATAATAGAGACAAATTTATATATAATATATATCTTTAACGTTCAACTTGTTATGGGTGTCAATTTTAACTTTAAACTTTTAAATGTGTTGCAATCCTTATCCGTTGATAGGTTCTCATTTGAAATTTGTTGAAAATGCATTTTCATATTTGTCAAATAAATTACAAAATATATATTTGGTATGAAATTATTAGGATTCGTAAAAAACAAATGATATTATAGTGTGTTTGATCATGATTTTGACCAACTATGCAAAGCTTGGGCTCAGGTAGGGCCAACGAACAAAGAGACAGACACATAAAGAGTAAACAACTTCAACATTTAAATCAATCTCGATCTGATATAAACTTAATTTGATAATAGTTTTGCGTACTTTAAGAATGAGACATAACTCTCTATTTATAGAAATTAAGTGTCTGACGATATTAAAAGACACGTCAAGCCACATAAATCATAATATCACATAAGTAGTTGTTGGTTAAAGTTTTTCACATCATTTTTTTATTTTTTTAATTAGTTGATGAATTAGAGAAATTTTGAATAATGGGTAAAAGTGTAATACTTATGTAGGTTTAAGTTTAACTTAGTAAAATTAAAATTTTTAGGATGAAAATTAATTCAACCTAAACAAATAATTAGCATGATGGAAGAACCAAAAAAGCGCGAAATGTCAGTTTGCCAAAATAGCGTTTTCGATAAACACTTTCTTTAAATTTTATCCACTTATTTAGACTAATCTTTGAGTTTAAAATATTTAGGATTATTTGGTTGGTAATTGAGAATCTGTTTATTATTTTTTAAATTCATTGAATCAAATAGATGAAATGAATATGCATTCGGTAAATTTATCTTTTAAAATTATTTTTGAATTTTATGATTTAAAGGTGAAAATTCTGAAACAATATTTATGTTTGCAATATTTCGAATTTGAAATTTGAATTTTTAAAGTGCATATTTATATTAAAAAATGATAAAAACTTTAAATATGTTATTTCATATTATAAAGTTAACGTTAAAACGTATAAAATATAATATATTATAAAGTATATAATATCGTAGGATAATAATTATACAAAATTTATTACAAAAATGCTAATAAATCCATTAATATTATTTTCGACTTAATTAAATATTTATTTAATAAATATCATTGGATTATAAATATATTTTTCAATACATATTGAATACTTTTTTAATTGAGATTCAATTTTAAAATATGCTATCAACGCTTAAAACAAATAATACTAACTATGTTTTTCAATCAATTGTTTCATATCACCAAGTAAACATACCCTTATTTATTATTCTTTGAACTTCTGTTATTGATTTCTTTTTAATTTTAATTATTATGTATTTTATCTAATACGAAATTCAAGTCACTTATATTTCAGAAAATATAAAATGTAAATATATGTGCCACAGCATGAAATTTCCATTAACTGCACCGTAAATTTTCAATTGTAAATAATAATGCAACCTAGGAGAGGATAAATAAAAATATCATGTACAATTCCCCACCAATTGCTATTGTCAAGAATATATTAAGATGCAAATAAGAACATTTATATATTTTTTTAGTAGTTATAATTTGATTGATTAAACAATTGCTAGATCAAACGATAAATGGTACCAATTTGGCAGTGATAGCTACAAAAATCATATTTGGCAGTTGTTTGTTTGTTTTTTTTTTTTTTGGAGATGATATATCTGAAAAACAATTAATCTAGTTACAAATACAACAGGTATATTTATATCTATTTGTTTGGACAATTTTGTCTAGTACAATACAACATAGGTGAGTTACATATATAGATGTGAAGATTTGAAATCACAACATTTTAATCAGAGATAAATGCGTTAACTAATTAAGTATGCTCAAGTTGGTATCAAATATTAAACTTACGACCTAAAAAAATGTAATAAGAGTTTTGATCATTTATAAGCTATTATTAGTTATCCAATATATTAATTATATAGAGAAACGATGGAGTGTCAATGTGACCTAGAAACTTGGTTGATGTATTTTCAATTTTTGTTCATTAAAAAGGGATCATGGTTACTTTATGTTATTTATTGTCTAACTTTTTTCTAATCACAAATTCAATATAATTTTTTTATTGCAATTTCAACGCAACATTACACCCAATAAAATGTAATTCTAATTTGTCTTAAAAGGCTCCCATTGTGTATAGAAATGTCTTAAAAGATTGCAATAATGACGAAAATGGTACTTTTTTAAAACTATAAGGACAAAAGCAGAAGTTTTGAAATTACAACGACCATGACATTTTAAAATTACAATAATCAAAATTAACCTTTTTTAAAAGTACGGGTAAAAGTACTTAAACCTATTTTGTATTTAATTAGTGGAATTGAGTCAATTGACCGCACAAGTAAATTAACTGTTCATATCTAACTTCAATTAATCAAATTCGCGTTTAGTTAAGGTTTTCATTCAAATTTACATCTGTCGATATCCTTGAAATTATTATTAAAAAAATAAATTGATTTCCAACAAAAAAGAAAAAAAAAGGAAAAGAAAAGAAAAAGATATTCGATGTGAAAAGAAAATGGGGAGTATCAGGATTCGATCCTCTCCTCATTCGGCAGCTGTCTTCGGCATAGGTCCTAAAGTGATTATTCTATATCCTTTAATTTATTCCAATCAATAATCATATACCAATATTTTACTTTTATCAACAAAATACGCTACTTCATTGTATGGTTAGGCACAAACATAGAATTCCAACTTTGCATTTTTAACATATATATACACAAATATTACATATTCCAAGAGTTTCCACACAATAAAGTTATTTCTAAAAAATGATTTTAATTTACTAAAAAGAAATTTCAAACCATCAAATTATACCTTCAAAAGCTTCCAAAATATCCTTTTAAAAACATAAAAATTCTAAAAACAATCTCCAGCTCCATCTTGCTCCAAGTTTTGATCTTCTCCTTCAACTTTTTTTTTCAAAACGTGTGCTCCACAGTAAAAGTTGTTACAAAATCTGAAACCGTGTAGAAGTTCTAAAGCAATTTTATGGCATTTCAACATCAATCAATCAAGTAACTGATAAACATCCAAAGAAATTTGATTCAAAACAACTTTCATAAGAGTAAGAAAGCTTACGAGTCTTGGGGTCCTATAAGTTTGGATTGCTTAAGGTAGGAGCAAAAATTTTGCATTTTCTGTTTGTTCCCATTGCTTTTTCTTCTCTGGTTTTGTCTGTTTCATATTCAGTCCACTTTTTTGACAACATTATGTAGGACTTGTGATGGGGGTGTGCCTCATTGGATAATCGCCCTCTTTTCACAAATTCTTGGCTTCTCTGAACAACCAACAGAGGAGAAGCTTATTTGAGACAGTAAGTTTAAATTCCGTGCAGTTGTCAGTTTCCCTTGCTTCATACTAAAGAAAGATAACAAACAATCTTATATCTCTCGGATTCTCGCCCATTTATTCTGACAACTTTGTGTCATTCATTTCGTACTTGTTTCTTTAGAACCGAGCTGAAATTCATGGGATGCTGCTGAATTTTGCAACCTGGAGCAGACTGAAGCATTTGTAACAGCCTTGGGTTTCCTTCTTTAATTCCGGGAAGTTCATCCACCTGTCACCGTTTTGCTTCAGTAGTATGGTGTCTCGAAATTCTGGGATGCCTGCCTCTGAAATGTAAACTCGTTCTTCGAGACGAAACATCGATATGATCAAACAAGATGAAGGATCAAGCGGGACACCAAATCGAGATGAATCTGTGACAGTTCTTGCATTGCCACCGAGACCTCAAGAAGCAAAAGAAGTAACCGGAGGGGTGGTGCAGAACCACAATGAGAATGAGGCTGGCAAGAGGCATGGAGAGGAATCGAAAGAGAGCCACCATAACTGCATCATTGATATAAAAAGCAGTGGTGAGTCAGTGGATGGTGAAGATTCTAGTGAAGAAAAAGTTTGCAGGATATGCCATTTGAGTTCTGAACATCAGTCAATAGCTTCAGATCTCATACAACTCGGATGTCGCTGCAAAGATGAGCTCGGAATTTCCCACCGTGACTGTGCTGAGATTTGGTTTATGCATAGAGGCAACAGGTAAAATTTCTATGATCTATATCTTCTTCTCTCTTCACCATTCTCACAACAGTTTATGATGACTTCAACTCCAATCCAATTTCATCCCTTTCTCATGATAGACAGTGTGAAATCTGTGGTCAGACTGCAACAAACGTAAGGGGAATCAGGAGCGGCGGTTTCATGATACAGCGGAATGAAAGGAGGTTGGTAGCAAGCTCAACAGTCTCCACAGTGTCCTTGGACAGCGACGATTCACTATCATGTTGCTGGGGGCAGCGCTTCTGTAATTTCTTATTAACATGCACAGTTCTAGCCTTCCTCCTCCCATGGTTCTTTCGTCTAGATTTCTTTGGATGATGAGTGATGACTTTTCTCGGACATCCCATCATCAAATAAACCAGAAATGAAGTGCCTGACCCATGCTACTGAGGACCTGGGAATAAGGAAAAACAACAGTTTCACACGGAGGAATTGACAGATATATATGTAGTTCTCGCATACTGTCTCTAAATAAATCAGCAGAAGAGAGATCAAAGCCAAACAAACTAGTTCTATAGAAAAGTATAAATGAGAAACGACATTCAGAACCATACAGGCCTGAATGACATGTAATATTCATTTTTCACTAGAAAATTTCACAAATGCAATCTTTACAGGTTGGTGGCTGACATGACATTCACGTTCCTCACAAACAATGCAAGCAAAATGAGAATAATTGGCTAGTACTCCTGAGAGAGAGATCACAATGCAAAATAAATAAATGGTTTTAATTCACTAAGCTAATTACTTTTTCCACATTAAAAATTTACTATTCTAAGGAACGTCTTAGTCGAGTTCTCGAACAAATAAGACGTGCACCAAGTGTAGAGACCACTAGGAAAACCTTGACAAAGTGGATCCAGCTTTCAAGCTTCTACCCATAGTTACCTTGCATCCTAATGAATATTTATATTACAATTCAATAAGTTAGTCAGTTTCAGAATAATTGAAATTTTTGTTGCACTCACGATGTTTTTCTAGAATATTGCTAAAGAGGAAAAAAGTAAGAAGTTAAAGACAAATAAAAGAATATACAATACTCCTGTCTGATTCACAAAATCGCATATATGATCTCAGAAATTAAATGAAGATGTTATGCTGAAGCCTGCAATAACTAAAGAATAAGATTGTAAATTATGAAAGGTATTGTTTAACATTTTTCTTTTATAGAATATAATAGCAAGCATAGTATTTCAAGTCGAGAAAATATACCAAACTCTAGAAATTTCCCCTATTCACGTCCTCCTTGATATAAATAGCATTGACAATGAGCAAACAATACTCGTGTCTGATTTAAAAAGAATGATGATAAATAAAAGCAAAAATGTAAATACATGTGCGTAAACAGAAAAGTTCTCAATCTGAATTTGTAAGAGGAGCTGGAGGCCATAAGATTATCCACAAACCACTCTCAAGAACATGCTGAAATTTTTGCAGTATGATGTGATAAAATAAACCTGCTGACACAAAAGCAAAATTCAACCACTTGTCCACAGGTGGGATCCTTGACTTTCCAAAATAACATACAAATAAAAGAAGTAGAATCACATATGACATTGCTTTACCTGGATGTCCAACCAAAGCAACTAAGGACTTGTAGTCAGCTTTGAACAAGGTCAACAGGACCGACATGCCCTTCCAGAAACTGCATCAGTTTAATTGTTTGATAAAGGCAGAGTCCACCAATCAAACACATCCCATATAATTTTCAAATACATAACTCAGTTTCCATGATACCATTTTCGGTGATAGCCAATCAATGTCCTGAGATCTTCAAAACATTCGTAGTGTTAAAGTTAAATATCTTAACAGTGAAGCATGCAGCTGAAGGGCGAACTAATGGCACTTGATGCTTGCATTACCCTTGAACCAAATCATTTGGTTTCCAAAGTTAAAGCCATTTTTGGATCTGGTATAGCATTCAAATTCAGGCAGTCAATGAAAGAGCCGAGCCAGATGTAACTTTGATTTAAGCTTCCTCGCTTCACTTGTAAATCCTGAAGAACAAAGACCATCAATAACTGCTCGTTGTGTGGACTTAAGAACTTTCATGCCACCTCTTATACACGAAAGCAATAACTTTGATGCACAACGGAATCTCCTCGCCTTGCAAAGATTGTGCACCAAAGAGGTGTAGGTAAAAGAATCCCTTGTTTCCATTGATTCAAACAATTTCATTGCATGGTCAATTTGTCCAGCCTTACACAACCGGTCAATTAGACAATTTAAGGGTACCAAGTTTGAAGCTAAGCCTGTTGTATACATGTAATTCAAATGTCGCCGGGCCCCATCAATATTGCCAGCCCGGCACAGCCCATCAGTTATTATAGTATGTGTGTAGTTGTCAAATTCTAGTCCCCGTGACTCAATCTCATCCAACAACTTATATGCTGCATCCAACTTACCCTCTTTACAGTACAAATGAATAAATGTGTTATAAAAAACTAAATCAATCCCCATGCGATTCCTTATCATTTGTTCCATGCAAACATTTGCCTCTTCGAACCTACCCAACTTTAAAAAAGCACCAATAACCGTGCAGTAAGCAAAGCCATCAAAAGCATATCCTTTGTTCTTCATCTCAAAGAAAATCTCAAATCCATGTTTATATTGCCTAGATCTAAGGCAGCTTTTCATTAATGTAGTGTATGTTATAGCATCAGGCTCAAGACCCGAATCCCTGGCCTCATTGAGCATCCTTCTAGCAGCCTTCAACCTACCCACCTTGCAAAGACCATTAATAAGAATATTATATGTAACTAATTGAGGAACAAATCCATGGCGTTGTAAATTTCTGAACAACATTATGGCATTGCTTGTATATCCATATTTACAAAGGCCATTAATCATTGTATTAAACGTAACCGGATGAGGAGAGAGGTCTTTAAGTATAATATCCTTGAAAACTCTATTGGCTTCGTCCGGCTTTCCTAATCTGAAGAAACAATGCATCAAAGTGTTGTAACTCCATATATCAGGAGTGATACCTGATTGAAGCATTTCTTCGAACAGATCAAGGGACTGTTCCAATGAGCAATTCCTGGTTGCCCCAGCTATCAAAGAATTGTAAGTAATGACATCTGGGCTTATACCAGCTTCTCTCATTCTATAAATAACAGAATAAGCCGCATCCATGCCGATAAACCGACAATATCCATCAAGCAACGTATTGTAAGTCACTACATCCGGGAGAACTCCTAAACGTATACCATCTATTATGACAGCTTCAGCTTTCTGCATTTGCCGAGATTTACAATATGAGGCGACACAAATATTCAAAAACTTTGTGGAGAATTTACAGACCATTCTTCAAACTGCCCTTGGGATTTTAAAAAACCTGCCAATCCAGTAAGTCAACAAGAGAATAATCATTTTGCACATAAAAATATGAAAACGCTTAAATAAGACCATTGAAGCAAAGAAACAGTTATATCGAAGCGATAATGTGAAAGGCAATCCTAACCGGAAAAACAACCAGAAACTTCAATAACTCATGATAATCATGGTGAGACCTCAAAAGACATGGAAGTTCAGGAAGACGAAATCCAGCTTGACTCTAATCCGGAAAAATGAGCATTTTCACCAAATTAAATCAAACGATCGGTGCCTTAATTAAATTAAATGAAAACACAATCCACTTCCGCGAAATTATTACTGGGATTAGCAAATAACAGCAATAATACAAGAGAAAACTTACTCGTCGGGATTTACCAGTACGAAACGCAAGAAATTTCACTGTTCTTACGAATGCAATAAGTAATTGCCACCAAACCTTTGGAGAAATGTAGAAAAACAAGAGTATTCGGTGAAATATGTCACCTCTCGCAGCTTCTGCTCGTCGCTCAGATCATAAATGGAGTCGCAGATGGGCGTTTCCTACTTTCCTCCCACTTCTAGCGGATGGCTGATGACATTGGCAATGTACAAATTTCCATTCGCGAAGTAGCCAACAAGACTTGAATTGGATGGCGTCAGTGGAGAAATGGAATTCGGGAATCGAAGGCGATTTTGAAACAATTATTTAAAAGTTGATTGTTCTGGTCGTGCAGATTAAGTTAGAAATAAAAATCGAAGTATTATTTGTCCAAAAAACAATTAAAAAAAAAGAGAGAGAGAGAAAAGAGAACTCTTCTTTTTAAGATTTTCTAAGAAAATGGTCTGTGATATATATATTTTCTTAGATTAGCTCAAAAGTAATGGTATAATTGAGTTCAAATTTTTCCATCTCTAAATAAATATTTTTTTATTATTTTTTTAAATCTTGGACAAGTATTATCCACGGACATACGAATATTTTAAAAAGAAAAATGATAGTAAAAATGCAAGGTTTATTATCTTGACAGGTTACCTTTCAAAACAATTTGGGCATCATTATTTTTTAATAAACTTTTTTTCTTTGAACTTTGTTTTTGAATAAGTTTGGTCTTGATATTTTTTATTTAAAATTTATAACTAGTAATACTAGAAAAATTATACATTTTTGCCACCCGTTAAAAATTATAATTTCACAATTTTGACGATGTGGGCTATTTACGAAATTTCACAAATTTAATAGCAATCTTGTAGGCCCACAATTTAAGCCCATAACCTCCGAACTTGAAATCCTAGCTTCTTCTACTTTGGAGGCCCACAATTTAAGCCCATAACCTCCGAATTTGAAACCCTAGCTTCTTCTACTTCAACCCATATTAGGGTTTCTTCGCCCCTCCCTCGGATTGAGAAGCAGTAGCAGGAACAGCGCAACAGCCGCAGCCGCCCGCTAGGATTCCCCAATGGTGGTTTCTCCGATTCGTGTTTTTCTCTCCCATTAGATTGTTAAAACTTCTATAATTGTGTTTTATTCCTGCTCCCTAATCCTCTGCATCTGTTAATATGGCGCAGGCTTCGGAGAAGAAGTTATCGAACCCCATGAGGGACATTAAGGTGCAGAAGCTCGTCCTCAATATCTCAGTCGGCGAGAGCGGAGATCGGCTTACAAGAGCCGCAAAGGTAGTACAAACTTCACCGAGTTCTGTGCATTTTGTCTGCTGATTTGGTTGCTTCTAGTTTTTGTTTCCGCGATTTATAGTTCACTTTTCTTAGGTGCTCGAGCAACTCAGTGGACAGAGCCCCGTGTTCTCCAAAGGTACAACTTTTTTTTCCTCATCTCGTACCCGCTTGATTAAGACTACAAAATGGTTCGGATGAAAACGAGTAAATATATATTTGAAGAGAAATCTAGAGTCGCACCTTAGGGCTGATTAATCGTGGGATTTAGGTTTATGAGATGCAAAACTACTTATTTCGAGTTTATGATTTTATGATTCAGAACTGGAAATAAAGTTATCTTTGAAAGTCATATCACAATATTGGATCTGATAGAATAATTTGTTGGTGGGTTTTTTCTCTCTTGTGAACAATAGCGAGATACACTGTACGATCTTTTGGAATCAGGCGTAATGAGAAGATTGCTTGCTATGTCACCGTTAGAGGTGAGAAGGCGATGCAGCTTTTGGAAAGTGGGCTGAAGGTTAAGGAGTACGAGTTGTTGCGAAGGAACTTCAGTGACACTGGATGCTTTGGCTTTGGTATTCAGGAGCACATTGATCTTGGAATCAAGTAAGTTTAAGCCCAAACCCATCTGAATCTCCCTTCAATTATGTTCAAATTTTTTGTCTGAAACTTACTGCCATGTGATCAATTTCCTCAGAGATCTGTAGTCTAATTTGCTTAGGTGATTCTGTTTTGATTTGTATGCCAAAATAGTTATATTCAAATGCAACATTCATTGGGTTGAGGTATTTGTCAATGTTAAATATTTGATTAAGTATGACAACTTTTGCTGCCCAAAGGAGATGGTGATCGAAATTCCCGGTAGTTTTGGAAACAGGGAACAGGATCCCTAATCCCTGTCCTAACTGATGTGCTTGTCGGGATTGAAATGATCTGGAAGGACGGGAATAGGGGAGGGAGGGACATTCCTGACCCTTCATGAGTGATGACATCTCTATCTATGAAGTTTACCTTTAAACAATCTTGTTTGTTTATGTGCTATTGTATGACATTTCAGGTATGATCCCTCCACCGGTATCTATGGTATGGACTTCTTTGTTGTTTTGGAGCGACCGGGGTACCGTGTTGGCCGCCGTAGGAGGTGCAAGTCTCGCGTTGGGATCCAGCACAGAGTCACAAAGGAGGATGCCATGAAGTGGTTCCAGGTGAAATATGAGGGTGTGATTCTTAACAAGTCGCAGGCAATCACTGGTTAAGCCCTAGAGGGATTTCCCAAATAGTTTGAGAGCTATTTGTGTGCAAGTTATAAAATTTTGTGCTTTTGAAATTAGCCTGACTGAAGCTCCTTGTTTTCTTTTCTTGAATATTTTTGGGGTTTAATGGAGATTATTAGTTTCAATTTGGACAACTTTTTTTAAGCCGTCGGTAGTCATGTTTTAGTAATTATATCCTTCAATACTCTGAGATATCAATCTTCTTCGTTCTTATTCCTTAAAGCATCAGCTTCAAGCACCGTTTGTCTGTGACATTCTTATTGCTGATATTATTAATTGTGTTTCATTCTAGACGTAAATGGAAGATCGAACCATCGATACTTGATACTTTATTATTGAGTCAGTACATCGATCTTTGATCAACGTACCTACCATTAAAGGCTTTAGAAACAATTTGAAAACATCTATTTTATTGCTCGTACTGCTATATATTTGAATTATACAGAGGTTGATTTTGTAAATCAAATTTTTATTAAGAGAGGCAATGAATTTCATACATGGACTAGCATGTTCATTGCTTAGATATGTAAGAGGTCGTTTTCTCTCCTGTTTTGTGACGAAGCTGTTTTTCTTTAATACGATTCTACTTGATAGCTTTTGGTTTTCAGTTCCTCGTAATTTCTGAAAATCATTATTCTAAGTTTTCAAGGTATGTGTTTTCATCAAATAAACTAGGTTTTTGACGTTGAACTACTAGATAAATTTGAAGTTATATACACACCACTTGAAGATATGTAATGAGGTTCAAGTTGACTATTTTCTTAATTATTTCAATCCAAATTTATATTATTTGATTGACTATAAAATGTTACTTATCCTACCAAACACAATCCTGATTTTCAAAAGATGATTAGGTCTCTTTTTTTAGAAAAATGTATTTAATTTTGTTTAATGAAAATTATATTGAATGTGGTACTAAAAGTAAACTAAATTTATAACAATAAAAATAAGCTTGACGGGTTAAGGCACATGGATCCAATAATGAGATTAAAAGTTAGAATATCCACCATCTTTTATGCCTAAAAAAAATAGTCGTGATAATTGACCTATATCTTTTATGTCAATGTTGTAGTAAAGGTAAAAAGAGAGAAAAAAAAGTTATTGTAAACAAACCGAAATATTTTAAGAAGAGCGAAGAGGAGTTGGTCCATACTCCATAGTTGGTCATTCGGACAAAACAGTAGTCTCTTGAGATCACTGGAAACGGCAGCCAGGCGCGTGAGGCAGCCATATTCCACAAGCCGACACGTGCCTTGCTTCTGCGTGATGTACACTTCCGCTTCTTCTCCCGCTAGATTTTTCTAATTCCGTCCAGATTCACAGGAGCCAAGTGGCTCAGAATTCGCCACGTCATCATCAACCCTTCCACGTCAAAATTTCTTCGTCCTCATAATTTTCAAATATTCGCTCAACGCCCCCCCAAAAAAATCCAAATTGTTTGCATTTTCACCCCCTCCTCCCCTGTTTTTTCCCACCAACTAGCCCAGTTACTCTCCAATGGTTCAGTTGCTCTCTCCCGTCTGCACAGAGACCATCAAACTCCAAAATCCGATTCTCGGTTCGTGCCCAAGAAGCTCGTGGCGCTCGTTTGCCAAGTCCGGCGGCTCTTCCGGTGCGATTGGGCGCGGCGTCGGGAGACGAAACAGCAGACTGAGGATCGCAGCAAGAGTTTCGGCCTCAACGGAGGCCGTTGCCGATGACTATTACGCCGTATTGGGACTCGTAAGCTGTTCCGATTCGATCTTGATTTTGTTTAGATTGAATATGAACGTTTAATAATGGCTAATCCCTGATCAGTTCGGTATTTTTATGTGCTTGTTTGGATTCTTTCTTCTATTGTTCATGATGAGTGTGGTACTACTTTTAAATTGTTCAATTGATGATGTGTGGTTTATGATTCGTAGAGTGAGTTTGATGAATTTTTGAATGGGAAGTCTTCTGTGTGTGTTTCTGATGTCACATTCTCATGGTGTTTGTTGTACTGACCTCGTTCTGGCAGATTATGCTCTCTTTCATTTTTTAGTGGCGAATTTTTGTTTCTGATCCAATTTGTTATTATTTGTGTAATGTGTCTAATGAACTTGTTCTATGCTTGTTCATAGCTTCCAGATGCCAGCCCGGAACAGATTAAGAAGGCCTATTATAATTGCATGAAAGAGTGCCATCCAGACTTGAGTGGCGATGATCCAGACACCACAAATTTCTGCATGTTCGTTAACGAAGTGTATGAGGTACGAGTTCAAATTCAAAGGATGCTAAATTCTGAGCTTCCTATTACTAAAGCGACAAATAAAGATGGATACATAAATTATGAATAGGGTAGAAGAATCTACTATATTATAACAGAAAATGGCTAGAAGAGTTTTCAATTACAAAGAAGTTGCCCCTCTTAGAAACTACTTAGGCCGATTGGCTACCACCATCAAATTTAGTTTTTTATGTCATTGGTGGGCTTCTCGAATCGAACTAAAAAGAATTTGGGTGATCCATATTTAACTCCTAGAGAAAATGTTGCTTCCAGACCTTTATCATAGATGGCTGCTAAATGGCAGGTGCTTAGTGACCCAGTGCAGCGGATGGTTTATGATGAAATTCATGGGTATGCTTTGACTGCAATCAACCCTTTTATGGATGATTCAAGCACAAAGGATCTTGCTTTTGTTGATGAATTCAGCTGTATAGGTACGTGAGAAAATCTCCCTGTTTTATTCTACCCACATACTTCTCTTGACAGATTCAGCTGTAACATTCTTGTTTCTTGTTACTAAATTGCAGGTGCTTAGTAAATTGCAGGTGCTTAGTAACATCATGTTTCTTGTTTCTCGTTTTCCGTTTTTGAGAAATATAATTGTTTGGTAACTATTTATACTTCTATTCTTTTTTCAAAATTGTATATAAATTTTGGAAACAACAAAATCAAGTTTTTGCTTCTCATTTAGAGCGAGAAATGAGAAACAGTTACCGAATATAGTTATCTTTTTATTTCTTCTAAAATAGAAAACAAGAAACAAGAAACAAGAGCATTACCGAACAGATCTTTAATTTTATTATAAAGTCCAATGGACTTGCTAGCATCAGGCAAAGAGAAAAGAAAACTGAAAGATCATAAATCAAATGTTGCTATCCAATATAGGTTTCTTGAAGGAGCATTATATTGCCAATGATTATTTAGTTTATTATGAGAAAAGTGAGGAATCATATCATTTGCCATCTGTTCGTGGTTACCTTACGGTTCTTCAGAAACTGTTGCTTATGATGAACTGACCGCAAATGATCTAAGATCTTCTTAACCTACTTCCAGGCTGCAAAAATTGTGCCAATGTAGCCCCTGATGTCTTTGGGATTGAAGAAGATTTCGGAAGAGCTCGTGTCTACAGCCAGTGTGGGAATGCTCAACGAGTTCAAGAAGCAATTGATAGTTGGTAAGCTCACTTTATGCTGATTGAATCTGAACTTAACTGCCTTTGTTTTTGGTCTCCAGTTCTTGTTGTTGGTAGCTTATGAGTATTTCTCGGTTCAAGACCGTTGTGTCTCAAGCATCATAGAAAATTCTTTTGTAATTATAGCATTTTGATGATTCAGTCAATTGGGAGGCTTTTTTTTTTTTTTTGTAAGGAGTTCAATTGTGGGGGGCCTTCTCGTCCCTCAGTCCATAGGATGTTCCTTACCATATCATAAAAAAATAAAATGATACTTGAAGAATGTGCTTGAGATCATATGCCTTGACCGATTTATTTCCTTGATTCTTCCCACCAGTTTGTGTCCAACAACTCATTTGAAATGTTTGCTTCTTTTATCGGGCATTCAGTGATCTATCTAATTTAAATATTGATTTTTCATATTCGGGATTATTTATTTGCCTAATGGTACCATGGACTAACGTCTTCTCCTCCCTTGCCAGCCCAGTCGATTGCATTCACTGGACTTCAGCTGCACAGTTATCTCTGCTTGAAGATGAAATGCGCAGGGTGGAAAGAATCAATGTATGCAATGCAGCAATAACCATAACTTTCTTTGTCCCAAATTTTCTATTTCTAATCCGAAAGGCCTCATTTGACAACATTTTTTATTTTTTGTTTTCTGGAAAATGAGCATTTAAACTTAATTTGTTTTGTTATATAGTTTTAATAAACATTCTCAAAATCTACGCCAAATTTTGAAGAAAAAATCTTAAAAGCTCTCAAACATGATCATGGCATGGCATAAGTGGGCTTTTGTTTTACATGATCACCAGGTCGCATTTATGCTCTCTGGAATGGGATCATCAGCTGTGGATGTTTTTAGACAGGTAAGAACATTTTAAATTGCTGTTCATTTTTTTTAACTTACCTTACATTGGAATACAAAGAAGAAAATGGAAAGAAGGTGTTTAATTTAACCATCCTTTTGCTGAGTACATGAATTATACTTCCCTTCCCTCGCTGCTACTAATAGTAATAGGAACTGCCCTTCTGATATTGAGTGTTGCGTTATCTAATTTTGCAGGCAAGTTCTCGATGGGAAAAGAGGCAAGCGAAAGTCTTGGTAGGCTCTTTATGCTGATGAGCGCTCGACTTTCTGTTTTCTAATATCTCAAGCTTTACAATCCTTATTCTTTTTCAGCAACAAGCAAAAGTGAGGATGACGAAGAAGAAAAGTTCCGATAGCAATGATTCATACTGGAGCAATCTTTGGGGCAGGCCTAAAGATCAACCAAATTCAGGTAATGAATACTATACTAAGCTTCATTCAACTTTAAAGTGCTTATGGCGGACTGAAAGTGTTTTTTGTTTAAAAGTTGGTAGTGCTTAGTTGAAATTTTAAGGAGTGCTTTTTAAAATTTACCGAAGTAGTTTGATAAATTCTCAGAACTGGTAGTATCTAATCAGTTTTCTGTGCTTACGAAATATACACTCCATCTATAAATGCAAAAAGAATACCATTTAGGTGCTTATCCAGTTAATAGGAGATGTTGACCATCATTAAATAAATTAACAGCTTGATGCATAAAAGAAAGAGATATAATAGATTTTTTATTTTTATAAAAAATAATAGTCGTAAATTTTTAACGATGGTAAGTAAGAAGATACCTATTGACTGGTAAGTACTTAAATATTATTCTTTCAATTCAAAAGATATCCTCGTCCTAATTGTATTTTATAGCTCTAATTTGTCTATTATTATTACCCTTGCATGGAACATACACTTGATGAAATACATTAAAAAAACATAAACTGTATTTGAGCCAATATTTTAAATTAGGTTAAAAATCCTTATTATAATGTATTTTGTTGATATTTTTGATATATTATTGAACTTTTATTCATCTCCTCAGGTCTATGCGGAATTTTGTTTTTAATTTCCAAAAATATTTACAATGGAGGTTTAATTTAATTCATAACATCAACTAAAACTGGTTTTAAATTTCTGCAGAAGAGGAAGTAAACGAACGGGCAAAACGGGCAGCAGCTGCCGCTCGACGATGGAGAGAGTACTCTAGACGGGGTGCTGACAAGCCTCCAACTTTCAAACTTCCAGAGTCAATCTCCAGCAACGAAAACTAACTAGGTAAATAAAATTAAATATAAAACAAAAATCCAATAGCTTTATTGTCGTACATAATTAATCCAATATCATTGCTGGAAAAAGTTAAAAAAATCCCATTACTTCCATCCTTCTTTGTAACTATGTAATTAAAAATAAAAATCAAATCATCACCAATTTATGTAATTATTGTAAGAACATCCAACGCGACGAACCGATTCATGGAACGAGTTGGGATTTATTTCAGATCTGGGATCAAAAATTGTTTTTATTTATATCTACTGAATAGTTCATGTTACTTTCTCCATTGTTTATAGGTGACTTGTAATTTTCCTTGCATGTTCTAAGCCAGTTTTTGGCATATTTTGTGTGTGGAAATCTTGCTTGTTCTGCGGCCTGCGATAATATTTTTTTAGGTAAAGTCAACTTAATGATTGATGAATGGAAATGGGTTATGATTATAGAGAGGAAAAATAGAAGTAATGATTTGATGGTTTCCATATGAAGTGTTTGATTGGATAAGTAAAGTATTGCAAATGGGACTTTTTTAGTGGAAAGAGTTTGGTTATGACTTATGAGTATGCATTAGAGATTTATAATGAAAAAAAAAAGTAGCTCAACAAAAGGGCCTCAAAATAAAGAACAGGTTTAAAGTAATTACAAAAGTCTTTAAAAGCCCAAACGTCTTCTCAAGATCTCTCAATCCCTCTCAAAATTTTGTTCTTTCCATCTGCAAAGTCTAATAAATAGCTAAAAAATTACTTGCCACGAAAGCCTAAATTGCTCTCCTGAAGGGTTGTGAAGAGCATCTTCCATCACCATAGTTTTAAATTTCCATCGACATGTCTATGTTTCCATAGATTCGACATCGACGTAAGGAGTGAATCGACATTTCCATCATAGCACAAGAAAATCGATAAAATATGAAAAATATAACAAAAAGTCACTAATATATATATATAATATAAATATTAATTATTTTTAACTAATTTAGAAATGTGAAAATGTTTATCGGTTAATTTAATTACTTTTTACAATTTTTTTTCTATCTTTTACATAAATATCCATCGACATCGATATTTTATCGATATTTTTATTGATATTTCCATGAAATTGAGATCTCGATATTTAAAATTTTGTCCATAACTACATTTTTCTGGTGCTGAGAAAGGTGAACTTTCAAAAATCTAAATAGGCAATTCAAGATCCTTAGCAGCATCCCTAAAAGAATACAGCACTGGCCCACTCCGAGAAGCCTCTTGTTTAATCAGTGCCCTGCTTTAGAATCCACTATTATGAAGTGCAGTTCATATTGTATTTCCACTTGCTGCAAAGACAGGGAAAGGAAATGCTGATTACAGGAAAGAAATTGCATTTATTATCGAGATTACTCACTATTCTGATTTAGTTTTTCTTAATACAGAGGTATCAATTAATTATATAGTGTTTGATCAAGGACTTCTAAAGTTTAATTTATGTTATTGTTATTAATTAATTTATTATTATTATATAATAAAAGTATGATACATCAACTACTTTGGTTGGAAGTTTGTCTTAATTGAAAAAAGGGTTTCATTTGTTTGAAAAAGAATTATCCTCCATTTATTTTTAACTCTCTTAATAAATATATATAACCAACTTGAATAATGCAATTAGTTAGCATATATATCTTTGATCCAAAAGTTAGAGGGTCGAGTTCGCACTCCTACATGTTCATTTAAGTACCACTCTGTCACGTAGAATTATATATATGTTTTTTTTTCTTTAACATTGAAATGTTGACCAATGATGAGAGGTAATAAAATATAAAAATAATATATTAACATTATGAATATAATACTAATAATGATAATTTGTAACTTCTAGCAAGTGTTATATCTTCATACTTTTCTTCAAATATCCTTCAACATTCACCTGTCGAAATTTCTATGAATTTAAAAAGTTGACCTTTTTTTTTTTTGTTTTTTGATTTATTGTCCTGATTTGACATAGCTAAATTATTTCTTTAATTTCAAGTTTAAATATTTAGCTGCATTCGTTGTATTGTACTAAAAAAACATTCTAACTCGTGTAAAATATAAGCAAATTTGCACTCAACAGGTAAACATCAAGAATTGGCTGAAAGAGAGGAATTTTCATAAATATTAACACTTTAAGCAAATTTACACTTATTTCCTGCCGCTAAGAACACACTATAGAACAAGTGAACATCCAATAATTTTTTGGAAAGGAAGTTCTTCATCTGTCTATTTATCTATCCATTCCACATAACATGACAACAGCCAAATTTTCAAAAACAACAATCAAAACCCACAAAATTGCACTCTAAAATGAGAAGTAAAAAAAAAAAAGGTTATGGTAAGTTTACAAAGATGGTGTGTTATCTCACAGTTGAAGCAACTGTATGAGCCCAAAACTTGAGATGATCTTTCATGTCCATTTCAGTGGCAGCACCCAAATCTGGAACTCTCCATTTCATCAGAATTCTCTTTTCATTTTCTTCATCATCAGCCTCCCATGCTTCAGACAAATATGGCCTCGAAACCCCAATTTCATTCCCTTTTTCCTCTCTTTTTTCCTCTTTTTCCTCTTCATTTTCCCCTGTTTTTCTCCCCAATCTCTGCAGCCCAGGAATTATGGAAGCCAAGCTTGAATTCTTATCTTCCTCGGAGAACACAAATCCCAAATCCATAAACCCCTTCAATTCCTCAAATTCAAGGTCCGACAAGCTCTTACTCAACCCCCTTCCTCTTCTCTTCCTTAATTTCTCTTCATTCCCTCCCAATTTCTTCTTCGCCGGCTTCCCCCCTCTTTCGCCGGAAAATTCTGTTACTTCGCCGGAAAGAATGGTTTGCAGTTTTCTATTGGTCGGAATCGAGCCGGTGGAGTAATAAGCGGTTTCGGGAGCTGGGAAGTCCGAGCCCAGAAGATACTCGCTCTGAGATCTCCCCTGAATCACTTGCATTATTGGACTCTCAGAGCTGTTTTCCGGCGCATTGGAGGGTTTTGTTGCACGTTGGGTCCGTAAAAGCGGTTTTCCGGCGAAAACTACGTGCTGAAACCAGAATTGGTCGAAAAGGGTGAGGATTTCTTCGGATGCCATTAGTGGTGGGAGAATTTGAGAGGCTTTGAGGAGAAACTTGAAGGTTTAAACAGTCTTATAGATAAGGAGGAAAAAAGAGAAAAATAAGAGGATGAATTAAAACAGTGAGATCGAAATTACGTTATTGCCCCTGGCTTTAAGCAAATAGTGCGGAAATAATAATGCAGCACGTTTCTTCAATTATTAATGTATTGTATTCAAAGCTACAATCATTGGAGGGCCTCATATGATATAATATATGGTTAAAGGAATTAACCATGAGGGAGTTAATGGTAATTATATGGCTTTTTTTCCAGCTTAAGTGGAATGATTATATATATATTTACTAGTCAAATGGCACGTGCTGGAATTTATTTGCCCCGTGAGAAACCGCGAGCTAGCATTTGGCAATTGGCAGTGCGTCATGCGTGCGATATAATGCCTTTAAATTTTCATGATTTATTCAAATTTTAAAATGAAAAAAAATTAAATTAAATTTGGTTCATGTAGTTTGGTCTTTTGCATTTTAGTTTCGTTTTCTATGCTTTTACGAGTTTCAACAGAGTCCATATTATTATGATTTAGTTTCAATTTTATCAATTTAGTTTCAATATGATTTTTTTTTCTAAATTTGTTTTTTACAATTTGATAACTCAAAAAATTTTCTCTTTTTTTACTTAAGCTTAAATCTTAATATACTCAACTACCAAATAAAAAAAAATACTATTTTATTCTTACGTACGACTTGTGAAATTTAACAAAATTATAAGGACTTTGAAAGTTCTAAAGTAATAATAAACAAATTGAAATTGAACTCAAATCATAAGGATCAAATTTGTAATTAGATATTTTTGTAACTTTTAATTGTGATTTTAGGTACTCATTGTCATTAATATAACTAATTAAATGATGATGTTACATGTCTATTAATAATCTTTTATTGATTTTGCCACAATATGATAGATAAAAGAAAAGTATGCAATAAACGAGATAAAGTAATTCATCCGAACATAATCTAAATAGATAAGACATTCATTATCATTCAAAAGTCGATTGATTCAACCTCTCAAACCATAGTTGTTGAACTCAAAAAATATAATAAAATAAAAATAAAGTGACATGTAGGATCGATTTATATATATCCCTCTATTTTGTTTAATTTTCCATTTTCTCATCATTTTTATTCCTTATTTGATAATAAAGTTACCTATCATTTAAAATTTTCTAGTTTCAATTATTCAGGGAAAAACTTTGTTCATCACATAATTTTATTAAAAATGTGGGCAACCAATGAGAAGGCATCAACCTTTTGTGGTGAATTTTGAGAGCGTTTGTAATTGGCCCACCACCCACTAATATTGAAGCGGGCACGTGATGCACACATTTTGCATATACAAAATAAAAAAATAAAAAAACTTTTTTTGAGACACGAAAATAATATTTAATCAAAGCAAACTAGTCCCCCAAAAATTAAATATATAAAGCAAACTTTAAATTTTACAGGTGCCTCGTGACGTGACAGGGAATCGGAAACAAACCCCAAGTGGACCCCACCGGAGACAACCCAGGGGTTGCGTTCTTCCAAGTCCAAGCAATTCTCATGGGTCTGAAATGTATTAGTGAAGTGTGAACCATATATCATGAATTTGTCTCGATTGTAATGGCAACTTTATTATATGGTCGAATATTTTTGCTTTTGTCTATTCTCGAAAAATAATAGTCACATGTTTTAAACTTTGTTTTTGTAGAATGTTACTTTATAATATTCTATTGGTACTTTCATTTTTTTTTAGAATATGGAAGATTTTGTCGAAATACTCGTAAATGAATTAAAAATTTACTCAATCTAACAACTTAAGTTTTTTATCGAGTGGTGGTTTATTCATCTTTAAACAAGTTTAAATTCAAATTTACAATTTTTTTATCGGAGACAAGTACTTTAACAAATTGAGCTTTTTTCATATTAGCTTTTTTCGGTACACTTATAATGTTATCTAGGTATATGAATGGTTAAAATCGTCATATGGATTATAGCTTGATTAATAAAAACATTAATAATTGAAGTCGAATGTTTTAAACTGCATGAGTTTGATAAACCAATTTATATGACAAATACGACATCTAAATTTGAACATACAATTTTTTATTGGAGATAAAAATGTCTTAATTGATTTTATACTCAAATACTAAATAACTACATTTATATCGTGTTGGACTATGAATATGTTTTTTCCTTTTTAGAACAAAGCATCAATAAATTAAAAAGGATTTTAACCTCCACTATTTGAGTGGAAGAGTCCATAAACTTAAAAGCTTAAGTTAATAAGTAATTTATAGAAAACGAAAATCTACCATTTTATTTTATTGATGAATAAAAATAAATTTTAAGAATTATATGTTGTACTTAAAAATATAATAATTATATTAAAAATAAATAAAATTTCAGAGGTCTAAACTATAATCCGACTTTATTATTTTGTATTTTCTTGTTGTGAAGTGTAACACGTTGGAACGTTAGATCCACGTTGAAGGGCTTGGGAAGTTAGTCATCCGACTTGTCGTTCAGCATGAGAAATCGAGAACGACAAGTGACCGGCATTGGTTTCGAAAAGTACCCTCCTTAAGCCCATTAAAAGCCCATTACACGCCGCGGCCACTTTATGGATGCTGGAAAGCCCATTCAGATTGGTCATGTTGGGGAGGACGATTTTTTTTTTAAATATTGATTAATTAATTGAGCTAACTCTCAAATTTTCATCCTTGTTTAGGAAAAAATTTTCCTCATTTAATTACTTATCTAATTAAAACACTTATAACTTTCGTTTTGGGCATAGCCACATCATATTATTCCCTTGTCAATATAGAATTTTGTTTGTATTTTTCTTACAAATCCAACAATTCTCCCTTCTGACAAAGTATCTCTAACGGTATGATATTGTCCGCTTTAAGTACATGACTTTTTTTTTAGTTTTACCCAAAATACCTCATAGCAATAGATATAATTCTCCTCATTTATATACCATTGATCATGCTATTTTCTGGACAATATAAAACTTTGTTTGCATTCCCCTTACAAATCCAACAATACACTTCATTGAAATATATATATTTCACATTATTATTTATACTAAAATTAAGTTTCAGTAATATTTCCTCTATATGCCATCAACCATGTGATTTGATTGAGACACAATATCGGGATGTTAGTTGATTAATTCAACTATTTTGATATTTTACAACTTGAGTAGATGAACAACAAAATTAATATTTATCATCTATAACTTAATTGAATCAAACAAAGTTTAGCAATGTCAAATAAAAAATTTTCACTAAAACTCAATTTGATGGCCATCGAAATATCATGGAAAATGATCTAAATTTCTAAATTCTTGCATCATTCTCAAAAACAAATAAAAAAAATAACAATAATACATTTTTTGTATTTTTTATAAACAGACATAAGCTTAAGCTGGACGCTAACCCATAGAAAAACTGATTATTCTAACCCAAATAACACCGAATATGTCAAAATAAAGCATAGTTTATAAATAGTCACTAGATTGGTTGGTTTTTTCAAACAGCTCAAATGTGAAAATGGCCTGGTCCTCTATCTAAAACAAAGAAGTTAACTTAATTTAAGAATCGGTCAACTTTTTCCTCTGACCAAAATATTAAATTAATATTAAGAAATTAAATTAACTTATCTCCACCATTTTTTATCATTTCCATTTGGATAGTAAATATCCATTCGATCTGTTGTAATTAATTAATATTATTTAATTGAATAATTGATGAGCGTTAAATAAGCCGCGGAAAGAGTCAGACAGATAAGGTTTTATTTTTCATAATATATTAAACAAAATAATATAATTCTTAAAAAACCCATCTTTTCTCCTCTACTTCATTTGTTTTCCTTTTTTTTTATAGTTTTTAATTTCATACTTTTCTACAATGCTTACGTTGATTGGGAATCTCTTGATTTGAACGACGTCATTTTGATAGAATCATATAGGGAAAAATAATTGGAAAGGGAAAACAAATACCCTCCAAATAAAGTTCAATTCCTTTAAATAATTGGTTTTATCTTGATTGGCAAATAATCACCCCGGGAATGGAAATAAATAACACGTATATTTAATATGAGCAATAACACTTGACTCTTTTTAACCAATAATCAAAATACTGTTCTTACTTCTCTTTATAATGTCAACAATCTCAGATTTGTAGGAATATTGGGGAAATATCCTGGAATTTTATTTTAAATGTCGGTTTGAAACTTCACTTCAAGGTTGAAGCTTCGTTAGTAAAAAATGATAGTATACTATTCTGATTGATTTTAATATAGGTTAATTTTAACTGGTTCCTTATAAGAATCTCACGTTAAAATGATAAGAGATCTAACGAGAGTTTTTTAATCACAGTTTATATTACAAGTGAGTTACTCCTCTTATTGTCAATTAATTTTGAGATGAAATTTAATGAATATAATATAGTATCATAGTTCAAAAATTAAAACGAATAATCAATCCAAAAAAGTGATATATCCAACCATGATTGGTGAAAAAAAACATCACCTTGAGGGGACATATTAAGAATAGTTTGAATAATTATGCATGACTATTTCACGTACTTGTTGTAATATTTTTAAAATTATAAATTTTTTTTTCTAATACGAACATTTATTTTAGTATGTGCAAGATAGTGTAAAGTGAGCTCACATGTACCGAAGAAGAAAGGCTCGAGAAAGTCTGAAGAGTAACACCTTGTTCTAGAAGTCCGAGGATTGTGCCTCAGACCTACTCAACATAACCTAAGATAATTAACGGTCAAATCCAAGCCAAGATGTTTATAAAAACGACCTACTGTAAATCGTTTCTCCACTCTTACAAACCTATGTTGGATTTATGTGATACTGTATGATGACCATTGGATGAACCCCACTTATCAATATTATAAATAAAGAAGTAGACTTCATACGTAGGTAAGTGCGTTCCTAATTGCTAGTCCAAAGAATATTGTGTACTTTCGATTTTACTAATTTGAGTGTCGGAGTTTTGCTTCTTCTTCTTTTACAAGTCTTACAATTACATTCACTCTCAAAGTGTTCACACAACAGTCATAATATTTTTTTTTTTACCACCAAATAATAATTGTAAATTTTAACAAGATTTTTCTTGTTTTACCGTTGCCTATCCGAAGAGAAAAATGCAAATTTCTTAACAGTTTCAATGTAATTTTATAATTATTTGAAAAGTATAAATACTTTCTAAAAAGTAGATTAGATAAATCGCAATAAATGTTGTAGTTCTACTGGCCAACCCCACTTGTCACTCCTACCAGACACTTGCGCTGGCTGCTTGGATTTCATTATTTGGAGTTTTAATTATATTAATATACGCGAATTAATGGTAACCCAATTATTAAGGAGAGAAAAAAAATTAAAATATTTATTTTAATTTATTTATTTTGATAAACAAAAAAAAAGTCAACACGTGCCAAGATTCCTCTGTCATTGGCCAACCATTCAAACGTAGTTTTGTAGAACATTAAGCAAAATTCTGCCAACTTGGTGGCGTCCGAAGCTAAATGACAAATTGCCATTTTTTCGTTGGTCGCCACCATTCAAGAATCAACTCTTTCCCTTCAAAATTTTCATTCATCAGTTTCTTTCTAAGTTAGGCATATTTGCATGCCGCTTGACTTAATAAAACCAATCCCAATGCCTATTCCATTCAACAATCTCAACAAATATATTTAAAGGTATTAGAGGAATTATTATAACTYAACGATGGCCACATCTTATGATATTGTCAATTTTAGATATAAGTTCTCGCGAATTTATTTTTCGTATTTCTAATATAATTATTATAATATATGATAGTTGTCATTGAATCGAATTGTTTGTTGGTTAGTTGTGGTTGGATGGTCTTAACAATCTCATCTTTGTTGATGTAGGATCTTTTTAACATTTCTTTTCAACTTCACACACTTTAACTACTAACCATGTTAGTAGACATTTTTGTGTTATAGTGAATCACGAAGTTATTAAACATCAATGCTTCCTTTCCCACGTAGGCTCTTCTTATTGAGAAAAAATCTACCACTACCGAAGTATAATTATAAATGTTACAGTTAGAAAAAAGCTCTAATTTCTCTAGTTTTAATTCCCTTAATCTAAAGAATTCGAATGGTCCTAGAAACTTGAATTCCCTTTATCTAAAAAATTCATCATGGTCTTAGATTTTTCTCCTATCTAGAGAAAAGATATTTATGGGTGACCCTAGTTTTCCCCCCTATAAATATAGAGAAAACATACTCATAATCAAGTTGACACTACTAAACTAAACTTTTTTGCTAATGCTTTACCTAAAACATCAATTATGACTTAAGCATGAGAGTGTGTGTGGCCAATACCACACATGTGTATAATTTTTTTATTTTACAGTTTCATCGAATATCCTTAGTTTAGAAGATCGGTTGAAATTTAGTAATTTCGATAGGTCAAATGTATGCCTCAATAATCAATACAATCGAGACTTTTTGAACTAAAGAAACTAAAAAAACATACTATTAAAAAAAAGATTTATTATCTTACTTTTATTTTTTATCCAATAAAAATAAATGATGTCTTCATCCTTATCGCTTTATCTTATTTTTTCTCTTTTAAAAGCCGAAGCAAACCTAAACCATTTTGGCTGTAATATCTTGGTTCCTGCATGCAGCAACAACGCCGCAAATCGGTGGTATCGCCCTCAAAGCTTGAACTAGTCTCTACATAAATAGATAAAACTTTTACCAAATAACAAGAAAAAACTATTAGCTATTAATCAAATCATAAAAATTTAATTATGCAAGCATTTATTCTAAAAATCAATATTGACATTATTTAAACATTTCTTTGCCACAGTGTGAACTGTGAGTGTGCAATCCGATTCCTATTAGGTTCAAACTGGAAAAAGGAAAATAACACAATACGACAACCAAGTTAAGTAGAGAGATGATAATATAATAATAATATTATTATTAATAAATTAATTAATACAAAAGCATTGGCTTTTGTTTGCGCTTGATTTTGATTGAAAAGTTAATCCATCTAATAATTCCACGGCTCCACAATACATTACGGTGCAGCTGACCGTACCCAAGTAAACCCCTCGCTCTTAATCCTCAACTAAAACATTATAATTTAGTGCGTATTTGCTCGCACGTCCCTAATAAACAAACATAGTTTGCCAATCTGTCACAATGAGCCCCCGTATTAAACCTCATCTAATTCTCTCACTCCTCCCTTCTCCCCATCTCTCCGGCCAATTCTTTCCCTTTTCTCTCTCTACCCTCCGCCGCACGATTGATCGTCATCCGAAACCCGCTGCCGCCGTAACTCTCTCTCTCTCGTCACCTTTTTGCCACAATTCCGGCCATGGACCGCCGTGTTCGTACAAACCCATTTGTCTCCGAGCAAGAAGATCCCGAACCCACGTCGGACGATGGCCTCCCGCTGGAGTCACCCTCCGACGGCAATGACTCCAAGCTCGCCGCCGGCCCCGCCCCCAAAAAGAGGTCAGTTTAATTTCATCACTTTTTATTTTTTCTTGATTTATAATTGAACTGTTTGGATGTGTAATAATTCAGTTTTTTAACGGTGTGGATTTTGTATGATGTGCAGTAGAAGGGGCGTGCAGAAGCGAGTGGTGTCAGTACCGATCGGCGACGTGGACGGTCCTAAGAGCAAAGGGGAAGCATATCCACCGTCGGATTCGTGGGCATGGAGGAAATACGGCCAAAAGCCCATCAAAGGTTCTCCTTATCCCAGGTACTAAATAATTGGGCATTTTTCGCAATTCTTTCTTGTTTTTTGGAAGCTTGATTTCCATTTATTTCCACTAATACAATATAATTGAGCTATAATTGATCCAAAAATTGCATTTATTTTGATGCATTTAGATAATAATTTGGGCTAATTATAGTCGAGTAATTGAAGAAACGCTTGAGATTTCGACTTTTCTTCGTGTTGTTACCGCCGGCCGCCTGTCTCTAACCAATAAAATATCTAAACCGCCGGCTGCTATAGGATCTGGATTGAGATTGGGCGCAATTTAGCACAAAGGCGGCTTTTGCTACTAAGCGCTGGTTTTTATTTTCCGTAGTTGGGAATCATACTCATTATCCAATCGCTCTCGCAAAGCGTGTACTGCACGCGCTCTTTTTGAATTTTGATTTTTTTTTTCCTCTTCTTTTACCTAATTATCGCCGTATTTGCGCCGAATTCCTGTTTTGAATTTTGATGAACATGGTTTCTCAATACTTGTTGTTTTTAAATATTTTTAAACAGTCTTCAAATTTTAATTTATTTTTGAACAGACGTAAATTACGAAATTATTTGAAAGATGCCTTTCACATCGAGGGCATACCGGTGAGTGGCGGCCAAACGATAGGACTTGAAATAAAAAAGTATTATTTATTGATTTTGGCCGGCATTTATAAATCAAATTGCCTAATTAATAATTATTTTTTCAGTTTTTAATAGAAAATTAATTAAATGAATTGAAAATAATTTTTAAATTATTGATGGAATATTGAATTAACGATTCTCAAGTAAAGAAATGATTGAAATTTTTAACTTTCGCATTCCTCTATGGGGACTTGTTTGGTTATTGGCTAATGGGCTTATCTTCTTTCCCGTTAACTTAACTCTTTTCTTTTGGAATATTTGTATTGAGAGCCCACGTTTTTTTAATTATTATTTAATTATTATTTTATATTTATAGGGGATATTACCGATGTAGTAGCTCCAAGGGCTGCCCCGCAAGAAAGCAAGTAGAGAGAAGCCGTGTGGACCCCACCAAGCTCGTTATCACCTACGCTTTCGACCACAACCACCAACTCCCGGCCGCCAAATCTCACCACCACCACCACCACCACCATTCTTCGCCGTCTCCCGCCGCGATCACCGCCGCTTCCGCCGCCGCCGACGACTCGTCCCCTGGGAGCACTACGACGTCGTCCTCCACGTCCTCCGGCGACCACACGAACATGACCCCCACGTCGCCGTCTCCGGCGGCCAAGTTCGAGGAGGCGGCGGCGGTCTTCGCGAGTCAGCCGGAGCTGGAACTCGGCGGCGACTCGCTGCTTATTAAACCCTGCCTCGGGGATTTCGGGTGGTTGGCTGACGTGGCGTACGATAGGATCCTCGAGGGCCCGATTTGCGGGGGAGGCGACATCTTCGACGACGCCGACGTCATGGTTTTGTCCACCAGAGTGGATGACGTGGACGAGTCGTTATTCGCGGATCTTGGGGAATTACCCGAAGGCTCCGTGATTTTCGGCCGGAGAGCGGTCCACACGGATGGACCGAACCGGACGCGTGGCAGAGTTTTAAACTGCTAGTTTTAGGCTTTGGTTCATTTGTTTACAGGAGGAACAGAACCGTACACTTTCTTTCGCTTTTTGGCTCCACTTTGCAATTGCCAATTGGTGATTACTTTGGGCACTTTACCAACGGAGAAAAGAGAGAAAGAGAGGATTTTTCTATAATATTTTACTTTTTTTTCCCTTTTTTTTTAATTTTTAAATTTAGTTTTGAAATGGATTCGATGGGTTTCTGTTGTACAGTGAAAACTAGTCAAGAATATTGAGAAATAATGAAATGCTGTTTCCTTTGGGGTTGAGCTTCTGGGCCTATCTGCTGCAGCAAAAATTTACAAATTTATCTCTGTTTTTGAGGTTTGATAGTAAGGAGTAAAGACTACAACAGTAAAATTTTTTTCTTAATGTTCCAAGAAAAATAAGAGCAAACTCCACAATATATGGAGAGACTATAATATGAAGAGAGGAAATTTTCCCTTTTAAAGAAGGGAGCCTTTCAAACAACCACCATCCACACATCCAAGCTCTTATTCTACAGGAAGAGATACAAATATACAGAAGAAATATCAGTTGCTCCATTTCTGAGTTGATGTTTGAAGCTTATCTTAGTTTGAGCAACACCCGATCCTCTTCAGAACCGACGAGTCATCCTTGACATCGATTGTCTGACCTTTTGGTGGAACGGTCGAAACATTTCCACTGTCGCCTGCCTCGACTGATCTCTTGCTCACGATTCGGTAGATTTGAGAGAGCACCTCTGTGAAAGCATTTTCAACATTTGTTGCATCCAGTGCTGAGGTCTCCATGAAGTACAAAGACTCCCTCTCTGCAAATGATTTTCCATCTTCTGTTGGAACTAGAATGAGGTGCTGTAAGTCGGATTTGTTGCCGATGAGCATCACTACCATGTTCGGGTCTGTGTGATCCCTCAATTCCTTTAACCATCTTGCAGCATTCTCAAATGTTGCACGTCGAGTGACATCGTACACGAGCAAAGCACCTACTGCTCCTCGGTAGTAAGCGCTGGTTATCGCCCGATACCTAAATAGAAAAAGGTTGATCTGAATTGAAGGAAGCAAAAAAGGAGCTTCTAAGTGGTAACTACAAATCCAAATAATTGCTAATACAAAGCTGTCAAAACAAAAAATAGCTACCAAACTACTCCTATATCATAATGTCCTCACCAACATCTAAAACAACTCCAACATCAACAACTTCTATATGAGTGTATAAATCCAAGCATTATGAAGTATGAACGTAGCCAGATGATTTATTCCCACAGAAAGTTTCAAAAATCAAATAATGTTGAAGAAAAAACTCCCATTGAATTTTCAACCACCTGCGAGTTAAATAGTAGGAAAAAGGGTACCAAGTAGAAGAGAAAAGGCTAAGGCTCAGTCAAGGTCCACTTTGGCTAGTTGAGCGACTAAAATTATAATGCAAATTACAAGTTGAAGTTGTTTAGTCATTCTGCAATGACAAGCGGACAGAGAACAATTCTGTATTTCTATTCATTTGCATACAACAAATTGGGCGACAGCGACAAGGTCCAGAATTATATTTTTCTAATCAACCCCCTAAGACTAGTAAACACGCCATCAGACTCGGCTTATGTCTTAAACAATAGGAAGTTAGACATAGTTGTGCACTAACTATGACAGAGCGAAAAAATAAAAGAAAGCGAAAAAAATTTGAACCCCAGCTAGGAAACGCGGAAACACAAAAGAAAAGAAACAAAAGGTTACTGGTTAGCCAGTGTCAAAAACTATCTGTTAAGGGCAGCGACAAATGTTCACAGTAAGAATCTCCTGTAGTTTATTCATATATCAGGCAAGTCACAAACACCCCAAACACAAACAACTACCTGAGCTCAATACTCCTACAGTGCCATGGGACCTTCATACAAATGTAACAACTAATTAGGTGCCAGTTTCAACACATATTTCAATACATGATCTCTGTTTCCAGTGACAATTCAGCTTTAGAATCATAAAACTTCAGTATTCTATGATTACACTAAAAAATTGTATGTGTTCTGACCCAGTGATCTAAACCTCCAACAAAGCACGTGAGAATAAACTGTATAACAACAAAGCATATAACTATATAAGGGAGCAGGTATGCATAACTTCAATGATCCTTTTTTCAAGGAAATAAAAGTAATCTACAGATTCATACAATCTGGACAATTATGACTTGTCAATATTAATCTAGAAGGAAATATGAAGAATTGCTTATTTCTATAGGATTATCCGAAAGGGTCACAAGTTTTCATGTAAGGATGCAGATTGATTATCACCACAAGTTTCTCCAGTAGGGAAGCAAACTAAAACTAGAACAAGTACTAACAAAACCAAGAAAGGCAATCGTTCCTAATGGGAATTTCAATCTCCAATAGCAAATATACAGTCCCTTGAAAAGATAAAACTAAAAATTTGAAGCCATCAGATTTCCAAGAATAAAAGACCCTTCAGATAAGATTTAAGAATCAAAGCAACATCAAACCAACCATATAAAGCTCCAGTAATTATCCTGCAAGCATAGTAACACGTTCGATACAATCAACTAATGGGGGAACTTCACTTATCATATGGATTCACCCTCCCTTTTTATAGAACCAGCTTTAACATGACCATCAGATTCTAGAGGATGAAAATAAAATCAGGGGAGGCCTTCCGTTGCCTCATATCTTATGATTTTGTCCAGAACTAATTCAACCCTCGTCCTTTCTTCAATCATTAAGCAAATTTCGAGTAACTGTAATATGTATTTGATATGATTCATATTCAATTGATATAGATAACATTCTGGCAGAGAAAAGATTGATTAGAAACAAACAAACCAAGCAACTGTAATCGGAATTTTGAGAGATACCCAAAAATTTAGTTTGACTTAAAACTAAAATCAATTAGAACTTCCAAAAAGAACAACGAAGAAACCAAACCTTTCTTGTCCAGCAGTGTCCCAAATCTGAGCCTTGATTACCTTCCCATCAATTTCCAAACTCTTGGTAGCAAACTCAACCCCAATAGTAGACTTCGATTCTAAATTAAATTGGTTCCTCGTAAACCTCGAAAGCAGGTTTGATTTTCCCACCCCAGAATCACCGATCAAAACCAACTTAAACAGGTAATCATATTCATCTTGACCTTTATAACCAGCCATATTACTCTTCCTCTAGACTTCCCTTTCTTCTTCGACGGAAAGAAATAAGAGTTCCCACAACCAGAGGATGCTAAAATATATAATATAAAAGCAAACTATTCTCTTCGTTTTAGTGGAGGTCTTTGTTCGGGAGCGATGAAAAGTAATACGCACAGAACAGTGAATTTAAATTTTGTACTAAACCTCAAGAACAAACTGCGTATTCTAATTTTTGATTAATAATCAATATTTTGAATCCCAAACTTTGTCTCAACTTTTAAAGTTCTCGATGACACTATTTTGACTCGTTTCTACTAAGTGAAGAAAGTGGCCACTGGCCAGCCACAACTAGGAAATCCCACATCGAAAAGGAACCAAAAGTAAGTTGTGATGGGCTAGTATAAAAGGAGAAGAAACAGATTGAAGCTTTCATCATTGCGCTTGGGGCAATGACGCAGCTAGTGAGGTTCTAACCGAGGCGCGTCAATTGCTGGTTGAAAACTATTTCCAAACCCCCTCTTAGGCCTGGGTTTGGCCCAGGCCCAAGAGAATTTCTGGAAGGGCTCCCTTCGGGGTATAGCCCTACATTTATAAAGCCCAAATTTTATACATCCCCTCCGGCCCATTGGGCTGGTTTAAGAAATCCCAAGCCCAGTGGGCCCATTGAACTGGTTCTCCAGATATGATGGCAATTCATTGATTATTTTTATGTTCAAGGTTAATTCAGTCTTTTGGGAACGCCTGAATACAAAAAAATGTATTTAGAAAATTACATTTCGTTAACTTCTAAGCACGTCTGGGGGAAATGCATCAGAGTCGTACACGTGTCCTAGTTGGGCCCCACAGCTATACGATAAAGGGTTGTAGGGAAATGGGGGGATGGGTCCGTGCGTCGTACAGAGTTTTTGGCAATAATAACGCGTGGTACGCGCGTGTCCTTGTGGCGAACGATGCCAGCTTCTGCTGATTCAGACTCCGGCTGGCTGAATCTTATCCAATTTCTTTAATGAATGTGATATTTTAACGTAACAGTGACAGACCTATGATATTATTGGGTGTGAATTTAACATGCTATAAGTCTACCCTGTAGGAGAGTTTCTTTTACCGACCCGGCACGTGCCAATGCTGGGTCTTATTGGTTAGTTTGGTAACTTTATCACCGGATGGTAAAGGTATCAAACTTCCTCGTTAATTTCACGCTATATTTTCCCCTCTGTATTAAAATATTATTTTACGTTTCTCTCGCTATTTCTTTCATTTTTTGTTTTCTTTTTAAATTTTAAAATTTTACGTTCCGTAGAAAAAGATTTATATTGCGTCGTGAGTCCAACGAACGCCACATTTTGCTCCTGGATCATACATTGTAGACGTTTGAGAAGGTCCTTAGCTAATATTTAAGCCGTTTCAGAATCCACTTTCACGAAGGATCGAAATTTTCATTTAGCTTAGAGGGAGGTCAGCTTCAAATCTTTAAATTTAACCCAATTCTTGCGCTCCGAAGTAATACGAGTTCTGCAGCATTTTTGTTTTCTGGATTTGGTTCATCATTGCTGTTGTTACCCATTCGGGATCTGGCCGCTGCTTAGATTTATCGGGTACGCCTCAAAATTCATTGGCTCAGATTTGTTCTTGTGTTTTCGATTGCCATTTGATCTTTCTTTCAATGTTGTACCGTGTCGGTTTCGACTAAAGAATGGATCTAATTCCGTAATTCTGGAAATGAGGGCATTGGTTGCTGTTGCTTTTTATAAGAGGTTGGATTCTACTATGGGTTAAAGAGAATCTTTTGAGGTTTTGCGCTCGGTAGGATTAGAATAATAGGAAAGATTTCATGTACATTGGATAGGAATCCGTTTTTCTTCGTGTTTCTCTTTAACCTGGGTTTTTTTTTTCTTTTTCTGTTTAATACCTCTGCCTAATTACTTGATTGGGTTATAACCTGCTATTTTATTAACAACCCGCATATTCGTTATGCTTTTTTGTAACTTTTTTGCGTTTTGGAACGTTTAGGGTTTTGATTGTTTTATTGCGTATTACGAAATTGTTAGGCGCTGCGCTTGTTAGGTTGTTCGAATTACCTCCGTGGTAGAAGAATAGGCGTTTCATCTGGCGGATAAAGGGGAGAAACATGATTTCGAGATCGTATACAAATCTTTTAGATTTGGCTTCTGGAAATTTTCCAGCAATGGAAGTGAAAAGGAAGCGGTTTCCACGAGTCATGACTGTTCCGGGTAATGTAGCTGAGCTTGATGACGATCAAGACTATAGTGTGACATCCGAAAACCCATCATCAATTTCCTCAGATCGGATGATAATTGTCGCCAACCAGCTTCCTTTAAGAGCAAAGCGAAGGGAAGATGATAATTCCTGGAGTTTCAGTTGGAACGAAGATTCACTGCTTTTACAGCTCAAGGATGGCTTACCAGAAGACATGGAGGTTCTTTATGTCGGTTCACTGAAAGTCGATATCCAACCAGACGAGCAAGATGAGGTCTCCCAGATTTTGTTGGAGAAATTTAAGTGTATTCCTACATTTTTGCCTCCTCATATTTTGGAAAAGTTTTATGATGGTTTCTGCAAGAGGCATTTGTGGCCTCTTTTTCATTATATGTTGCCATATTCTGCTGACCAGAAGGGTCGATTTGATCGCTCCATGTGGGAAGCCTATGTATCAGCAAATAAGTTATTTTTCCAGAAAGTAGTTGAGGTCATCAACCCAGATGATGACTATATCTGGATCCATGATTACCATTTGATGGTACTGCCCACTTTCTTGAGGAGGCGCTTTAACAGAGTTAAAATGGGATTTTTTCTTCATAGTCCATTTCCGTCATCTGAGATCTACCGCACGCTTCCTGTCAGAGAAGAGATTCTCAAGGCATTACTTAACTCTGATATCATTGGGTTTCACACTTTTGATTATGCTCGCCATTTTCTTTCTTGTTGTAGTCGAATGTTGGGTTTGGAATACCAGTCAAAGAGAGGCTATCTTGGATTGGAATACTATGGCAGGACGATTGGGATTAAGATAATGCCTGTCGGTATTCATATGAGTCGGATTGAATCCGTGATGAAACTGGCAGACGAGGATGCTAAGACTAGGGAGCTAACACAACAATTTGCAGGGAAGACGGTATTGCTTGGTGTTGATGATCTGGACATTTTCAAAGGCATAAACGTGAAATTGTTAGCGATGGAACAGCTACTTAAGCAACATCCAAAGTGGAAGGGAAAGGCTGTACTGATCCAAATTGTAAACCCTGCCCGAGGCAAGGGCAGAGATTTACAAGAAATAGAAGATGAAATAAAAGAAAGCTGCAGCAGGATCAACAAGGAATATGGGCATCCTGACTACGAGCCAATAGTACTTCTCGACAGGCATGTGCCAATTACAGAAAGGGTTGCTTATTATAGCATTGCTGAGTGCGTAGTTGTCACTGCTGTTAGAGATGGGATGAACCTTACTCCTTACGAGTACGTTGTCTGTAGACAAGGAATATCTACCTCCCAAAAATGTTTAAACTTCAGCGGACCAAGAAAGAGCATGCTTGTCATATCCGAATTTATTGGGTGTTCTCCGTCACTGAGTGGAGCATTTCGTGTCAACCCATGGAATGTTGAAAGGACAGCAGAGGCTCTGAATGAAGCTATCTCAATGGCTGATTCAGAGAAGCAGTTGCGACACGAGAAGCATTATCGTTATGTTGCCACCCACGACGTGGCTTATTGGTCTCGTAGTTTCTTGCAAGATATGGAGAGAACTTGCTCAGATCATTTCAGGAGACGATGTTGGGGAATTGGTTTTAGTTTTGGATTCAGGGTTGTAGCTCTTGATCCCAATTTCAGAAAACTTTCAATAGATGCCATTGTATCGGCTTACAGCAGGGCTGAAAGTCGGGCCATACTTTTGGACTACGATGGCACAGTGATGCCCCAAAACTCCATAAATAAGTCCCCAAGTGAGCAGGTTATCTCTATTCTTAACACGCTTTGTGCAGATGCCAAAAATGTAGTCTTCATTGTGAGTGGACGAGGGAGGGACAGCTTAAGCAAGTGGTTTCGCCCATGCAAGAAGCTTGGAATTGCAGCAGAACATGGATACTTTTTGAGGTTTGCTCCTATTATCTCTCTCATGGTTACTATCCTCTCCCCCACGTTAATGGTGGGTGATGCTATTTCATTGAGAATTATGTTGCGCGGTGAACTGTAAACATTGGTGAGTCTCTGCCGTGTAACTTGTTTCAAATGAACTTATAACTCTAGTTGTACCCATTTATATGGATTTCTATACTATATGATGAGGACTATATCTAAAGAATAAATACTTGTTTCAAATGAACTTAAAGTTGGATAATTTATACTGTCTGATATTTGATTATTTGGATTTGTATCAAGGGGAACAAGTGATTAAGAAATTTTGACGTCTGGATACTACACTGTAATTCAACTCGTTATAGTTAGGCTAGGTTATAAGAGATGCTGAACAATGGTTTTCAAAGGCCAAGATACTGCAGAGTTGTCATGTTTGGTCTTATTGCTAAACTATTTTCTTGTGTTCTAATTCTACCATCAACTCCGTTCAAAATGACCAGGCAATCACAGAATGAGGAGTGGAAGATATGTGGCCAAAGTTCTGATTTTGGATGGATGCAGATTGCCGAACCTGTTATGAAATTATACACCGAGGCTACTGATGGTTCTTCTATTGAAAGAAAGGAAAGTGCTTTGGTCTGGCAGTACCGAGATGCAGATCCTGGATTTGGATCTGCCCAGGCAAAGGAGATGTTGGATCATTTAGAGAGTGTTTTAGCAAATGAACCTGTTGCAGTCAAAAGCGGCCAGCTCATCGTTGAAGTGAAACCGCAGGTGTGTTACTGTTCATTTATCTACCTCCTGCAGACAGATATAAATGATAATCTTGATAGAGCATGTTGTTGATAAAACCTTAACGAGCATTCGACATATTTTCTCCTGCAATTTATATAACTGTACTCCGGGCTTCCAGCACCACTATAAACTGATTTTCCTTTCCTGCTTTCTTGTATTTGATCCAGGGGGTTAGTAAAGGCCTAGTTGCTGAAAAGATATTTTCATCAATGGCTGAGGATGGAAAACTTGCTGACTTTGTGTTGTGTATTGGCGACGACAGATCTGATGAGGACATGTTTGAAATAATTGGTAATGCATTGTCAAGTAATATTCTTTCTCCAACAACATCAGTTTTTGCCTGCACAGTTGGACAGAAGCCAAGCAAAGCCAAATATTATTTGGATGACACAGCTGACGTGATAAGCATGCTAGAATACCTGGCCGAGGCTTCTAGTCCATTGCCATCCTCTGACGACGAAAAAGGTGAAAATGCTTCTTGAAAGTTGAAACAAATCCCGTATCGCTGTTTTGGGACATGAAGATCGAAGATCAAGTGGGAATTTTTGTACAAGAAGCTGGGTCATGAATTGAGATAACACCCCTATTCCCCTGTCCTTTATTTACTTTTTATAGTTCATTCTCCTTTCAGCTTTCATGTTAGTTCTTAACTAAAAACGAAGAAATCATTGACCCTGGTTTCAAATCGACAAGCTTTTGAAGACAGTGGAGGAATTCTGTGGAAAGAAGTCAATCTGCGTGGCTCTGAACTTAAACTGCTGGAAGGGAAGAACTCGTCGGGTTGAAATGCTATGTTGACTGTACTGACATTGGAAATATTATGTGGATAGTTAAATGAGAGAGAATAAGTAGCTAATTTTGCTGCGTCATTGTGGTAGAATAGGTCATTTAGGCCGAGCTCACTCGGCTTATTTGAGAGGGTTTCTAATATGAAGAATATAATTTCATTTTGTACATGTTTTTCTTCCTAATGTTTGCTGGCTACAGTCATTCTTAAGTTCGTTTTCTAATGTAAACCTTGTCATCTGCTACAAAATAAGACAGCCCATTGTGTTTTTTCTGATTAGAAGATATTATATAACTGAGGATTATTGGAAAAAAGGGAAAAAGAATACATCAAGTTATTGTGCTATTTGAAGCAGAAAACCTTTCAGAAGCATGAACCAAATTGTGCAGGAATGGACCAAAGAATTCATGTCACAGTTGAATGTAAGCTTTACTGACAAGAGGGAAGTCCCAACACATACAATGGAGAAAGAAGTACTAGTAATCGTATGGTTAGAAATAGAAATATCCGTAAGGATACAATAGCGGAATTGACCTGAATATACTGATCCTTTGGGAGTTCTTCAAGCTTTAAGAGAGTACCAAACAACTTTTTATAGAAAATCTGACACTGGTATTTGTCCTACTGTCCTGCCTTATGAGCATACTCGTGTGTCTAGGCTCAAGTGAAATGTTGAATAAATGAATGCTTTCTGACTATAGTTACGTTCGGAAAAGAGACAAGAAATGGCCCCGACTTAGTTGAGGCAGCAGTAAAATTTTCCCTACCAATAATTACCACAAGAGCATTCACCGTCCCTGAAATGGTGAAATCTACTTGCATCTCTTACAATAATCTCTCTGTTTCTGATCTTTGAAATGCACTTAATGGCATCATGACAGTCACTGCAGACCCGCAAGTTCTTCATCACCCTTATCGGGGCACTCTCGGGAGTGTTCATCAATGCAAAAGCAATTGCTAACTTCTCGCTATGATGTGCCAGATTATACTCTTTTTCTTCGTTGTCCATGTCGTGCAAAACCGAGCCTATATCTGGCACGTACCCTTGCAGTTTCATTTCAGCCATTAGTTCTTTCAAATACAATTCGATCTCAAGATACTTTGGATGAGACTTGTCACTCATGTTGAATTGATGAACCGTACTTTTTAGTTCTAACCAACTTATGCCGGGCTCCTTCCTCACTTGTCTATCTCTCATGGCTTTCCTAATCTCTGAAACGTCGGGCCAATTACGAGCAGAAGCATGGATGTTTGAAAGCAGCACATAGGAAGCAGCATCCAGAGGATCAAGCTTAAGAATATCTTCAGAAATTCTTTTTGCCATTTCTGCTTTCTTGTGGATTTTGCAGGCCGATAATAAAGTCTTCCATATGATGCCATCTGCTTTTACAGGCATTGATCTTATTGTAGCCTCTGCTTCCTCCAAGCGGCCGGCCCGACCAAGCAGATCTACGACACATGTATAGTGTTCAATTCTAGGCTTGAGTTTATACTTCTTCACCATCAAATCTAAATACTCAGTCCCTTTCTCCTTCAATCCACAATGACTACAAGCATACAGCAAACTCAAGAAGGTCACTTCATTTGCCTCCATTTTCAACTCTTCCATTTGGTGAAACAGTTCAATAACTTCCTCTCCTCTCCCATGGAATCCATAAGCTGCAATCATAGCACTCCATAACACAACATCAGCATCTTCACGATCCAAAAACGCTTTCACAGAGTCGTCTAGACACCCAGACCGAGAATACATGCTAATCAATGAGCTGATAACTGCAACAACTGAACCAGCTCCGGCCTTGATTGCTTCAGCATGGATCTGCTGGCCTTGTCCCAGCGTCGCCAGTTCTGAACATGCACTTATTACGCTCACGAAAGTTATTTTATCCGGTCGAAAGCCAGCCATTTTCATCATGTTATACTGATTCAACACTTCTTCTGAACACCCATTTTGAGCTTTTCCAGCGATAAGCGTATTCCAAGCAACTACATTACGGGTTGGCATTGATTTAATTACCTTTTCTCCATCAGACAAACTACCAGACTTCATATACATATGAGCAACAGAGCTGCCCACCACCAAATTCAATTCAAATCCACATTTCATCAGACAGGCATGAACCTCTTGCCCTGCACGTATCGATCTTAAACCAGCGCAGCCTCTGAGTACACTGCCTAATGTGAACTCATCAGGCAAAAAACCCAATCCATACATTTCTCTAAACAAACTTAAAGCCTGCTCGTTAAATTCAAATTGGGTCAGACCCGTGATCATCGCATTCCATGTAGCAATGTTTCTTTCAGACATTTCATCAAACAGCTTCTGGGCGCTTTCCAAATCTCCAAGCTGCAAGTACCCATTGATCAAAATGTTATAAGACATGATATTTCTACGTGGCATATGACTAAACAGCACCAAAGAAGTCTTAAATTGTCCTAATTTGGAGTATAAATTCAGAAGGTGATTGGAAATGAACTTGTCCTGGGAACACCCAGATGTAATGACCAAAGAATGAAGCTGCTTCCCTCCAAAAATTGAGCCTATTTCTATGCAAGATTGGAGCAGATGGGAGAAGAGAGATGGGTCTGACCATATCTCGGATTTGAAGCTCTCATAGGCTTGTCTTATGCGTCCGCCATTGCATAGGTTGGTAAATTCTTGTAAATAAACAGAGGAAGTCTTTGTGGAGAGAAACCGCACGGCTGGTGCGTGTAAAGGGTTGAAGAGGGCATGGAAACTGAGAATCGGCTTGCCCATGCATAAGCCTGTCTTCAGTGGCTGATGGTTACGTTGAAACGAGGGGAAAAAACGAGAGAATTTATGGGTTTAAGTTGGGTGATTTTGAAGGCAATGGCAAAGAGCGATTCGATTGGCTTTAGCTCGCAACTCCTCGGTTTTAGTTCATATCCTCTGTTTCCTCCTGCGATTAACAATTGTTGATGCTCAGTGTCGCGGTTTCCACTACATTGTTGGTTCTAATTTCGTCACACCAACCCCTTTCCTTTTTAAGTACACAGGAAAGGAAATTCAAACTTACTGCTTTTTTTCGAAAATATATCCACACCAACTCCTTCATTTTTAAGTGCATGTGACAGTAGAAATTCAAACTTACTGCTTTTTGTCGAAAATATGTCCGCACCAACCCTTTCGTTTTGAAGTACATGTGACAATAGAAACTCAAACTTACTACTTTTTGCCAGAAATACGTCCTTTAACCCTATGTTCAAATTGCCAACACCACATCTATTTAAGAAATATAAAGAAATTATTGGTCCAAAGGAGTTACGGTAAAGTGAGAGGGAATGAATTCAAGTTTTCCTATATGTTTTTCAATACCAAATGTTATAGGATCGGACGGTTGTTTCGTGAGATTATGTAAGTTGGTCCGGACATTTACGAATATTATAAAAACATATATATATAAAGAAATTGCTAGCAAAACCAACAAAAAAATTTAACCAAATCAATTAAAATCGAAAAATCTATTCAAACCAAACCAACTAACCATGTGATGAATTTTCGTTATTTTTTCGACTTCAAACTCCCAATGAGTACAGTACACTCTCACATGATACTCTGAATTTCTATAATACATGTTTTCTTATCAGTTAAAATTAAAAAACAAAAACAAAAATCAAGATTATTGGCAAGCTGTTAGAGAGGTAGTATCCAGCCATTAGTTTGCATGAGAAATGTGTTACTTTGAAGCAAATTACTCAATCTAGAAAATATGGAGCAAAACATGTAACAAGTTTCGCAAGGGAAAACACCAAGGCGAGGCTTCAAATCTACTGATGTTTCCTAGAGATTAAATGACTATTTTAAACTCTCTTAATTACATGTCACCGAAAACTATATAGTACAGTTCAATACATACAATGACTTGTCAACGGTAATTAGATTACAGTATGTTTTCAAGTTGTTTATACAGTAACTGGTGTAGGTGCTGCAGCAGCAACCCTGTTTTGAGCTGGGATTTCAACAAATTCCGAGAGAATAGCCCGAAATTCGTCTCCTGATATTGTTTCCTTCTCGAGTAGGACTTCAACAATCTTGTCGATGGCCTCGCGGTTGTTCCTAATGTGAGCTAATGCAATTTCATAAGCTTCGTCGGATATTCTTTTGATGGCTGTATCGATATCCTCGGCGAGTTTTTCAGACATGGAGTTCCTGGCCATCATTCTCATGATAACATCACCACTCTGAGCTGCAGAGTCCATAAGGGACCATGGGCCTATATCAGACATCCCAAATGCTACAACCATCTGCAAAGAATCCAAGTGAAACCATCCCTCTCATTACATTTTTCAATGTAACAGACAACATTCAGAAACAGTTTGAAGGAAATGAATATGGGAACTGACATATAATGAACTGTTAACTGTTAGGCTCCAATACCGAAGGTTTATTTATGACGTTTAGACTTGACTGTTTTAATCAGTTTCTTTGTAAATATTGCAGTTTCTTTGTGAACTTTGTGTTAGGTAACTTATAACTCCCTTGGATAGGTGTGGCTTTTTTTTCCTTCCCTTGTTATTAATTTAATGAGAAACAAAGAGATTATATTCAAAATCCCAGAAATCCAAAAAAGGGAGACACAACCAGCGGAGGGTAGAGAGAACCCTCCCCTAAGGACTATACAATCGCAGCTTTTTAATTCTGTATAATCAAAAGAAGACCGTAGTTAAAAAAGAATTTAAAAAAAAAAAACTTTCTTGTGGATAGAAGTCCACCAAGAAGTCGTATACTTAATATTCACACAAAAAAAAAATCTACCCCTTTGGTAGTTGTGGCTTTTGTTTGTGTTTCTTTTATATGCTCTTTATCTTCAGTATTTTGGGTGTTTTCTTAAAAGAAGTATGGTTGATTTGTATTGTAGTTTCTAAGGTTATTCTTGATGGGTAATCCTATCATTAACATGGTGAACGTGTTCAAACTTGCCTGTTTGGCTAAGCCAGTGATCTGCTGCAGGTCACCTGCTGCACCAGTTGTCACCTCAGGCTCACCAAAGATCACTTCCTCCGCAGCCCTGCCGCCTAGTCCACCGACAATTCTGGCAAATAGTTGCTGCTTGGAGATCAGAGTTGGATCATCAGAAGGGATAAACCAGGTAAGGCCACGTGCCTGACCACGTGGAACTAAGGTCACCTTCTGAACAGGGTCGTGTCCTGGAGTCAAAGTACTGCATGGAACAGGTTATAAAAGTTTTAAGTAACTTTGCTGTTAGCTGACGGCGAGAAACTAAAGTAAATGTAATTGAAATCAAACAAGGGAAAAAAAAGTGAACGAGAGTAGGAAAGTAAAATAAGTGGGTGGAAAATTGTAGTTGCATGCAATCCAAGCACCAAGGGAACTAAGAATATTTGAAATCGTAGATTGGTGAGGATACTGAATGAAATACTAATTAATAAATTTTTGTGCAGAGTAGTAAAAATATGGAAGAACTAATCATCATAGGAACTCCATTTGGCTGTCTAAACATAAATAATAGCTAAAATTAAGCTTTGAACAGGTTTGTTCAAGTCACATGACATCTTAAAGCTAGCCCTCACGCTTTAAGATAGTGATTTTAATCAAAATAGTTTAACATCTTGAAGTCAAGTAGATAAAATTAAATGAAAGAGCATAATCATAATGTGCTTGTTACAAGTTACGGATGATCCACACTAACTGTACATAAAAAGCTGATTTCGTAATTGCAATGAAAAAAAGAATAACTTACCCACAAATCGCATGCCCAACTTCATGATATGCCACAAGGCTTTTGCTCTTCCCATCAGTCATTACTGTTCCTTCCATACCAGCCACAATCCGATCAATTGAATCATCGATCTCTTTGGATGAAATAGCAGTCTTACCGCGCCGTCCAGCCAATATGGCAGCCTCATTCAAGAGGTTTGCAAGATCAGCCCCACTAAAACCAGGTGTTCTCATGGCTATAACATCAAGAGAAACATCAGCATCAAACTTCTTGTTATTAGCATGAACCTTTAAAATTTCTGTCCTCCCCTTTACGTCAGGGACATCAACGGTTACCTGCATGCATTATAGTATTATACTCGGAGGTTTTTTTTTCTGGTAAGTACTAACTCAGCACGATCTTTAGTATAAGAAATATGCCTACAAATAATGGAATAGTTCTCACCTGTCTGTCAAAACGTCCAGGCCTCAATAAGGCAGAGTCAAGAATGTCTGCCCTGTTTGTGGCAGCAATTACAATAATGCCAGTGTTTCCCTCAAACCCATCCATTTCAGTTAGAAGCTGGTTGAGGGTCTGTTCTCTTTCATCATTCCCACCACCAATTCCAGTACCTCTTTGACGTCCAACAGCATCAATTTCATCAACAAACACAATGCAAGGAGCATTTTCCTTGGCCTTCTTGAAGAGATCACGAACACGAGAAGCACCAATACCGACAAACATCTCAACAAACTCGGAACCTGAAATGGAGAAAAATGGGACACCTGCTTCACCTGCAATGGCCTTGGCTAGCAGAGTCTTCCCAGTTCCTGGAGGACCAACGAGAAGAACACCTTTGGGAATGCGAGCCCCAACAGCAGTGAACCTCTCAGGCTTCTTTAGAAACTCCACCACCTCCATGAAATCCTGTTTAGCTTCATCTACTCCAGCAACATCATCAAAAGTCACACCAGTGTTTGGTTCCATTTGGAACTTTGCTTTAGATTGACCAAAGGCAAGAGGGAACCCAGGCCCTCCAGGACCACCCATCCCTCCAGATGAACGCCTTGATAGTAGGAATAGCCCTCCAATCAAGATTAGTGGGAAAGCTAGATTCCCAATCAAGTTGAATAACAGAGAGCCAGAATCCTCTTGAGCATTATGTGCAGCAAAGTCAATGTTTTTCTCCCTGAACTTTTGAAGAAGTTCCTGGCTCAGTCCCGGAAGCTGTACACGAACACGTTGCACCCGATTGCCCAATTCAGGAGAGATAGCCTCAACAATCGCTATAGTTCCATTTTCAAATAGATCTACTTTCTTCACTCTATCCTTGTCCAAATACTCCAAAAACCTAGAATATGACATCCTAGATGAAGAAACCCCTTGGTCATCAGCATTAGCCCTTCCACTTCCCAATAAAGCGGATGTACCAACTCCAACATTTCCAAGCAATAACTTTAGGAAGTCTCTTCTTCCTTCGTTTTCCCTTGGTTCCAGAGATGCCCTAACCACACCGGCCTTAGCCCTTTTACCCAGTGATTGGAGGCTTGTAGAAAGGACTAATCGCCTGCTGTGTAAAAACTTGCGTAGATTTGATTTAGCACAGTGAGTGGACATACCATTCCCCACAAGACATGCAGATGCAGAAGAGGCAGCCATCTCTGGAAACAGGAGAAAGACAGCATCATATCGTAAATCCCAAACAAAGATGTTTCGAGTAGAAACTCCCAACAAGTTTATGTATCACGATCTCTAGCTCGAGGCTATTCCCAAACTGAGCCATTTAAATCTCAAACAATGAATGAATTAACCATGATAACGCCTCCCCAGTGCTAATTATGAAATCAATAACATGGAGGTAGAAAATTTGCTCATGAAATATGATGATGCAAATATGACAGAGCTAGAAACAGCTAAAATAGGGACTGCACCTTCAAGCCATTATTTCTACGAGGTAGTATACAGTTCATTAGCTATAGAATCAAACGACTAAAATAGCACCGTACTAATGAATAACAACCATAAGCACCCATATCAATCAGTATTTCAATCATTACAATGATTTAAAGGTGAATTTTGAGAAAATTAAGTCGGCAAATTACTTTAGCTACCGCTAATTACCAAGTAAATGTCGGCACAGATTACAAAAACTTTCAGCTCCAGAGAGAATACAGCAAAACCATTAAAGGACGAAACTACAGAAAAGGAGCATACCTTGTTACCTCTAAGAGAGCAGAATTTCAGGAAAATTGAATAGTAGCTAAGAAGTATGAGTGAATCAATGCAATGGAGGCCACTGGGATTGAATGGCGGAGACCAGAGAGGATCCTGCGACTGGGATCCGACGGAAGATGACGCCGGAGTTCTTAAAGAGTGCAGATGTGGTTTGGGAAATGAATACGTGGTCTTCTTTTAGTGGTTGCTTCGTCGCCGTTCAATTACCCAGATTTTTGGGTATTTATTTATTTCTTTCTTAAAATTAAAAAAAAATATCTCGAACTAAGATTTTAAATTAGGGCATTAGTTGTGGTTGTCATAATTATTTTGATTTTATTGTCCGAGGTTGAGAAAATTTGAAATCATTTTTAAAAATATTCAAAAACATGTATTTTCATATAAACAATTATAAATATAGTATGAGTCTATCAATATGTATTACTTTCCAAAAAAAAATAATAAAAATAAAAATAAGATCTATTTCCGATCGAAAAGGCATGAATTCGAATCATCATTCCTACATGTTGTCCTAAAAAATTGATATGTATAAATATTTTTTATAACAATAATTATAAAGATTCCTACTTTGCACAAAGGAGGCTTGAGGGCTTGTTAAGGAAGATAGCAAAGACTGATGAAGGGAGGAAAACGAAAGGCGTTTTTCAATCCTCGAGCCTAGTGAGTGAACTTGTAAGTAAAATATTGTTTTAGTTATTAACATTAAGTTTTCATAAATAATTTAATAGGCAAGAGGGCAACCTATAGTTAAACTATATTGTTGAGAATTGCAAAGCATAAAAATTGTAAAGCTAGTGTATGGTTATTTGGAAATTAGATAACCAAATGGAGAAGTAAGAATGTAAGTGTATTGATTTACTTATGCACTTGATTGGACGATTACCAAAAGGCAATAGTGTTAGTTATATCGGAGTATTAGACGAAGGCCTCATCACCCACACTCTCACAATATTAGTAGTAGAGAGATAAACATATTGCTAACACATTATCTACGTAGATTGGTAAAGAGTGGAGTTGTCTTTATGAAGATCAAGTGACAAGGTCAACCGTTAGTTGAGAGTGGAGTTGTGTTTATGAAGATCAAGTGACAAGGTCTACCGAGTGATCAAGTAGCTAGTCTAGATAAGGTATAGGTTTTTTTTCCTACTGTTTAGTACAACTAAGGCAAAGTTTGAAAAAAATTATAGTGTTAAATATAGTAGCTATTTCTTCTATTTATATTAATATATCATTAAATAATATAGTACTTTATTTAATACACTCATATAGTTAAAACCTTATATACATAGAGAGAGAATTGAGGAGGTTCAAGGCGTAACATATATAATACGTTTTTTCATTCCACACGGCTATTTAAAATCAAATTGAGTAGTTCATCCATGGGATTGGAAAATGAATCGATATTTCTGAACAAATAACTAATAGGAAAATTAACATCAATAATTAAAATATTTGATTAGTAAAATTCGGAATTAAGATAAAATACCCCAAAGTTTCAAAATTCGTAACATTTAAAATTTCGATGAATAACACTGAGTAAGGTATAGAAATTAAGGCGCGAAGGATTTAATATTTTCTTTTAACCATAGCATGATTCGTGAATCGTGATCAGCAATTATACAAGTCTAGAAGACATTCAATCCATGGGCGAGAGGATGCTTCTGCGGGCACAACGAGCTCTATCGAGTCTCGAGTTATTTCATGTTCATAGCACAATAATATGTTTAGAGGTTGTGTTTCATCAATCATTTGTTGAGATTAAGGGCATTGTTCATGTCGATTTGGGGGGCAAATCGAGAGGACGCTTCATGCTCCCCAAAATCCGGCGAGATTTCGCAGCATCAGAGCTTCTTCCATGGCTCGTATTAAGTACACGATCTCATCGTCGGGTAGATTATTGGTCAGAACATTTGATGCAGTAGCGTTGTTGGATGAAGCCGCCCTTCGCCCTGTTCGCTCGAACAAAGCGAATCTGCAGACCGGACATTGGCCATTGCTCTTCACCCACGGCACGATGCATTCTTCGTGGAACATATGGTTGCAGGGCGTCGTCATCACCTCCTCTCTCGGCTGGAAATCTTCAAGGCAAACGGAGCATCTCTTGCCGTCTTCATCGCTCTCCCCGTTGCTCCTCTCCTTGTAATTTTCTCTGTAGTAGAAGTTAATTCTCTTACCTAGGTTCTTCGGAGGATCATAGATCTTTTTCTTGAGCTTATTCAGTGCCATATTTTGCTCTTCAGATGTTAGCGTCGAGTTCCCTTGGGATCTTGGAGTTGGCGTGTACAGTTCCGCAGGTCTTGGACTGGATTCGAGCTGTCCCGGTCTGGAGTGGGTAATGATTCTGACAATGGTAGGTGTTTCTTCCGGAGGGCTGGAAATTTCTCAAAAAATGAATGAAATATCAACACAGTTCGGAGGACATGGATTTTACTTACAGGTAATAAAAGCAATGTAAGTTGATTCTCTGAAACCAACCGGTATTCAAAGGGGATTAGTTTGTTATTGCAGAATTTGATGCTGCTCATGACAAAAATTGAGTGATGTTATATCATAAGCTATTCAATCAAATGAATGAGAACACATGTTTCTTTTTCCCTGCAACTTGTAAATAGAGGTGGTTCTTGAACAAATTTTTGCTTAATGAATTGTGTTGAATGTCGTTGAACTGTCTTGTGTTAACCAATCTCCAACTAAGAAGGAACTGGTGCTCAACCCCCATTTTTGAAACTTCATGGTTTGCATGATTTGTTTCCTCAAATTCTCCCATTAGTGAAATTCATGGACTTCTGATTGCTCTGTCGAGTTATCTCCCTGAGTTACATACTAGTTCATGTTTTGAGAAACATACAGCAAACTTAGATTGACCTCTAATTCTTATAATTTCAGATCATTTAAGAAATGAATCTGCAATATCCACTTCTATGGTATGCATATAACTCTTCCAAAACACTAAACAGCACATATAAAACTTCAAAGCTTTTGTGTTATTTACCTTCCAATGTCCAATATTCTTGCAAACATTGCCTCCCCTGCAGGCCGCCATGGAAATGGATCTCTCTCTATATAAGAATTCTGACAACACATGCATAATGAGTAATACGCTTGTTATCATCTCTTTAACTTCGGGACTACTAACATATTTCTGAGAAAAATTAGGAGAACTCTCATATTAATAAGGAATTAAAAGTGATCTGCAAATTCTGTTTTGCTGCCCGCAAATTCTGTTTGAATCCAGTTCGTTGCGGAACAATATAATTTGTTAACCTGCTGACCTGAAATGAATGGGAGTGTGGCGGCGTGGAGTTCACATGGTCTGAATAATTTATGTTATGTCTCTGGCGGCCATACTCCCTTCTAGCCTGCCAAATTCCTGGAGGAAAATTAGTAGAGCGTCTGCTCATCTCCCAAAAGTTTCTTCTCTCTTAATCTTTTAGATACTAATTTGTTGGTTTCAAGTATTTGGGATTTTATAGTTCTTTCACTGCATGAAGATGAATAGATAATCCGAGTGAATATATACTCCCCCATTCCATCATCTTTTATCCGTCCTTTTTTCTTCTTTTTGGCATGCTTTTTTCTTTGCTTGGTTATTGTATTCTCACGTAAAAGACTAAAGTCAGATTCCCACTCCATTAGAGATTTACTTTTTCCAGACGTAGGTGCTTGAAGTTTTTAAATTAGGGGAAAAAGTATTCATTTTTTATATTAAAGAAAGGAATCTTATTCTGCGGGAGCTTTCACTTTCATTCCTGATTTTTCACTATAAGATTATTGGGATATCTACATTCCCAAAAATCAATTGGCGTCTTTGTTTCTGTAGTAAAACCTCTCTCCATCTTTTAACTTTCTTCTCCTTCCTTCTCTTTTCTGTATGTTTTGGTGAGTAGTAATCAACCAGACAAATAGGCAACTTTTCTGGAAACATTCTAATGAAAAGTTAGTTATCTTTGCTCTGCAACGTCGAAGATGGGGCAATTTGCTCTCGACATGATTCTCTAAACTTTATTCGACAGCCTCAACGTATCAATATGTCGAGTTTTTCGGCTCATTTGCTTTATTCAAGCAAAAGATTCTCTATGCATTTTCTGTCTTCCATGCTTAGCTTAGCAGCATAACATTTTCAGCTGTATTCCACACCGTAAGTTTTGTTCATGTTTCTTAATCAATGCATTTTATGTACCCATAAGCAAGAAAACTAGCATGGCAGGGAGCTTTTAGCTAGACTCAAGTTTTGATCCATTGAAACCTACACATCATTTTCATTGTTTGGCCTGACTTCCCAATAAAAGTTTTACTGGAGATGGGATTAGCAAACATGAAATTTCTATCTTAAATTTCGATCAAATCCTAATATTGGCAAATTTGTGAGTACTGTCAGTTTCCCATTTGGATGCCTTTGGCGGAATGGATTAGCCTCCCAACAATATCGTTCAGAGACACATATCATACTTGAATCTACTTCTATTTCTTCCAAGGCATGAGAAGCAGATAGTTTATGTAGTAGTAATGTTAGAGACCAGAAAATTTGAATCAAATTTTATTTGATGAAATGCTGTAAATGATAAAACTTAGCCCCTTTTATGTACTTGTATAGTTTTATAGTGAACTCATTGCTTTGCTTGCACCAACAGACTTGCTGTAGATCTTTTTTCTTGGTTTTGGGGTTGTATCATCAGTTGGATTTGTTAGCTATTTTGTTTTTATTCCCCAGTTTTTAAAAAAATAGTTTTAGTCGAGGGGTGATCTTCATATCATCATATTGTCTCGCGACAATTTCATCGATCCATTTAGATTTATTTTTTTAGTTCAATAATATCAAGAGGAAGACTCAAACATCTAAGTTTTAGGAGGTTGCTACATTTGAATAAGAATTTCAACGTTTGATTAGGTGTCTTTTTTATTTATTGGTATTATATTAATCATATTTAAGTCAACAAATTCCTGCATAAATGACTGTATAACTTGTTAGATGTCTCAACAATCGGGCTGAAATTTGGGCCGTGTGTAGGTTTTGACGAAGCCCACAAATGAGCCCAATGGGAGGCAGCCCGGTTTGGAAACCCCAAAGTCCAAAGATACCCTCAAATTAGGGGCTATATTCTTATTGAGATTTGAGACTTTTGCTGGCCACGTGACCTATCATGGCAGACATGTGACATCTCCATCGGTTTCGTATTAAATTTGCTTAGCTGAATTGAATCTGCAAAAAAGGCAGTGAAAGGGCCAAGGGGTGGCGCCTAATAATGCCCACTTGTAGCCGACTACACCTAACTTGCGCAGCACAACTCCGGAGAAAAAGGCTTGTGAGTTGCGACTCCTCTTGCCTCTTTTTAGATTTACATATCTACAAAATTAATTATTACTAAAAAAATATGCTATTCAATTTTTCTTAAATTTTATTTGAATTCTTTCATGGTTTTAACTTAAAAAAATATATGTAACATTCTAAACTGGTGCAATATGTTAAGGATCCCACGCTGATAAAGGAAGAGACCTTACATCACTTTATAATAGACATGAACTACTCTTTCAATTGATTTTGAGATTGACTCCCGTGAATATTGATACAATAGGTAACTTCATCATATTAGTAGTAAAAAAACCATAATGATTTTACTAATCCACTAAAGTTTTCTAGAAACAATTTAACATGACTTTTTTTTTGAATGTTTTATTATTATATCTAACTGTAAGTTTCATTTGAATTGTAGTATTTTTGTAAAATTTTAGCTTTTCCTAATATATTTAAAAATAAATCTTTATTTTATGCTGTATTTGTGTAAAAACACGTCCATGTACAACCAGATAATTTAGCAAGATTTTGGATAATTTGCATTCAATAAAGTTGAGGAGTTTGAATTTGGCAATACTATCCTAGTGATTGGGGAGCAGCAGATAGAGAAATGTAGAGAGGAAGAGAAAAGAGTGATTTGTTATGTTTTCAAAATAGAATATAGGAAGGGAAAAGAGTGATGTGTTATTTTCTCAAATAGAATATACATGGGCAGCATTGTTCTTTCTCTAATATATATATTTTGATATGTGAACATGTGATTTATAGAAATTTAAACCATAGTTTTGATAAAACTTTCTACGTACTGATTATAAATCCAACTATTTTTTATTTAGTACACCATATCATGGTAGAAGATTCAAATTCATGATTTTCTAATCGAATATAGATATCTTAATTCGTCGAATTATGCTTATGGTAGAATAAATCCAACTATTGGTTACACCTCAAAAGAAATTGAATAGTAAAAATTAACTCAAAATTAAATTAATATGTATTTAAATACCGGTTACTAGGTACCTCAATTTCAAATTATATTATCAGCATCCTATTGCTTTTATTCAATACTTAAATCCAAAAAATATTTAATCTAAAGTAGGCAATATATAAATGAATAGACGTAGTCTACAATAACACTAAAAGATTTTGGAATAAAAAATTGATATATGAATTTAATTATTATATATATATATATATATATATATATATATATATAAAAATATGAAAGCGGCAAATGTTGTGAAATGGAGCGAGAATGGGGCAGTTAAGAAAGAAGAAGGCGTCAGCATCGCAAATCAGAAGCAGCGGGTGAGTACACGATATCTCACACGTTGACGCGACTAGAGAAAAAAGAATAGCGTGAGAAAGGGAACAAACGAAGAAGAAGGACAGAAGAATTTTAATTAATCAATTTATTTATTTATTTATTTTAAAAGAAAAAGAAAAAAAGGAAAAAAGAAATATAATGGATTCGAAACACAGACGTACTTAGGTGATTGCACCGAAACAAATAAATGTGGGCGCGTACGACACGGCTCGATCTTAAAGACGCGTAAAGAGGAGAAAGAGGACACGTGGCGGTGGCTTAATGGTGGGATTTGATACTGTTTACGAACTGTCGGTCTAACCGGCATTTCACAGAGAGAGAGAGAGAAAAGAATGCAGAGTGTGGTGACAGTTGTACAAAATCGGCAGCCGAACCACTGCTTTAAACCCAATATCCATTCATCGCGCGTAGGAACCACGTTCCTTATTTGTTTTTTTTCTTTTCTTTTCTCTTTCTTTTATTTGTAAATTGTTTATTTCTTGTATAATCATAAATGATTTAGGTAGGTGTATTAAATTTTTCAAAAAAAAAAAAAAGATCCAACTATTTAAACTCAATTTTTGTCTTCAAATTTCATCGTTTTTCCATTATTTTTCTAATTTAGTTTGAAATACTTTTTTTAAGTCCGTGTAGTTCCCATGGTTTTAACTTTTATTAATTTTCGTTTATATACATTTTGGTTTTTTATTTTTATCCATTATTTTAATAAAAAAAATTTTTGATCGTAATTTTAGCATGAATACTTCATCAACTAAATTTATTGAAATAGTCATAAACTTGTATTAATGTTTTCTAATGTGCATATTAATATTTTTGTAAACAATGACAAAAATAATCACTTTTTAAAAATAAATAAATCAAAATAGACATTTTGAAGACTAAAATAAACAATAATAAAAATATAGGAATCAAAATAAATATATTGAAAGTACGAAAGAACAAATTAATACTGAATTTTCTTTATTTTGGTATTGATATTTTCGATACCACTATTTTTTTTAACCATTATCCATTTAAACATTCAGTCATGTGGGTTTAATATATATGTCTAGGCCCTCCACTAGATTGTATGAGACAACCATTAAGTAAATAGATATAAGGTAATAGTAACAACGACCAAATTAATAATTGATCAGTATTCACATTTTATAGACCGTCATTAAATTTTTGACAAATAGAAGAAAGTAATGCATAAAATGATACATTTTTCTGTTACTTTTTTAAACGAACACCTGTTAAAATTTCAGTGGTGATCAAGAAGATGAATGTTGAGCACACAAGTATTCTTGTTAATAATTTTTAAAATATGATACATTTAACCATGATAATTAAGGAAATTTTATGAAGTTTGATTAAAAAGATTAAAAACCCAGTCTCTCAAATCATAGGGGTTAGATTAAAATTAGTCTCTAACTATCCATGTACAAAATGTAGATAATTCACAGTGGATCACAAATAAAAAATCAAGAAAATAAAACAATGAAAAATAAAATAAAATATAAAACAAAAAATTAGATTTGGGAGGGGTGGAAGGCACGGTCTGAGAGGAGAGCGTGAAGGGGGTGGGGCCAAAGAAAAAGGCGTAAATGTAATAACGGCTCGTTAGGCGATAAGCCGGCAGGCGGCAGGGAAAAGGAAAACAAAAACAAAACATAGAAACTGGAAGCAGTGAGCCTTGAAATTTCCGCGTGCCACGTTGTCATTGTTATTAGATTTAGGACAACATTATCCCCATTATATGTTGTTTCCTCGTCCTTTTCTCGTGCCCTGGGCGGCGCCCTTTCCCCTCGGTCAAATCTCTCGTTGACCCCACTACTTTTTTTTCTTTTTCTTTTTCTTTATTTAAGTTAATTTTTGCATATAGTAATCATAAAAAAAAGTTTAACTTAATTTTTGATAAATTATTTTTTTTAATGGTTGTTTATTTGGATCTCCATGCCTTTAATATAGTTACAATTTTATCAATATTTTTTTTAGTATCTGTTACAAAATTTTAACACTAATTTTATAAGCAACTAAATCCTTTGATACAAAACTATAACTCTATTTAACGAAATTTATTAAATTTAATATCATGTTGGATTGAAATTGTGATACATACAACTAAGATAAAAATAAAATAAAATAAAGGGACAAAAACTACCGTTTTTCAAACGTATAGATACCAAAGTAAATGTTTCAATATAGTGATCCAAATTGACAAAAGCTGATAGTATAAATACCACAATCTAAATTTTCAAAGTAAAGGACATCTCAAACAAAAAAATAAATAAATAAATGAACAACAAATCTAAATACAAAATAATACTTAACCTTAATAATAATAATAGATTAAAACTTCTTTACTTAGTTACACTTATTTCACTATGTTTTCTTTTCTCCTCATAATAAGTCTTCCTTAATTCATGGTTGATTATAATTTAGCTTTGTAATTCTGAAATTTTAATTTTGCTTCAATAGTTAAAGTTTTTTTTTTTTCAATTTGGCCTCAATTTTTTATACAATATTTTATTTTATCTCTAACCAAGAGGTTGTGAGTTTGATTTTCACCTTATATTTTACTAAAAGAGTACAATATTACCATCCCTTCAATAGGACAAAGTGAAAAAAAAATCATCACTTAAATAGCACAGGTCGCATATTTGATTTATTAATAACTCGGATGATTTTAAATTTTAATTAAAACCATAATCAAGTTAAAAATTTCAAGAAATAATAAATCGGAACTAAATTCAAATTGTATATTTTTTATTTCTACCGCTTGACCTGGTTAGTATCTCGTCGGACTTTGTTTTTGTTCAAATGAATCGTATTAAAACTATTTATATGATTTCAAAACACAAAATGTTTTAAAAACAAAATTAATATGAATACTTTATACCATAAATCCAAAATTATATATAAATTAGCTCGTTCCTTTCAGCATAAAATCTCGAATCTGCCAAAATTTGGAACAAATTTATATATTAATATACTTTTTATTAAAATTTTGAATTGCTTTTAGTATGATATTTTTCACTAGGCTACACAAATTGAGATAAATTTTTATTTATCGGGTACTTCTAAAAAACATTTTTGATATGATAAGTTAAATTTTATTTTATTTTTTGTATTTTACCATTTTCATGTATTATTTTGTAAATCTATGATGTATAATCATCATTTATAAAGTATACTGTATATATACATAATCATCAATTTTATTTTAAAAGTACTACATAATTGAATTTTAAAATAAAATTTCAACTGTTATAGCTGTGAAAATTAACAATTAAAAAACATAGAAAAAATAAAATAAAATGAATTTGCTGGTTTGAATTGCCATTTAATGGAATTCTCTTATTTAATTAATTTGAAAACACAAAATATTTTTCAAACAAAAAGATTGAAACGACAAAAATCAAAATCCCTAATATGATATTTTTTTAAATTTTGAATTGCCGATATTTTTCACTGAACTACGAAGATTGAAAATTTTTTTTAGGAAACTTCTAAAAAACAAGTTTGCTATGATAAGTTGAAAAAAAAAACAATAGAAAATAAATTTAATATTTTACCATTTTCATGTATTATTTTATACCATCCAAATTTCAGAAAATTTATAGTAAATAAATTAAATGAATAACATTTCCATGATTTGATTATGATATATATCCTTTTGGGTTAAACGGTGCTATAATAAAACTTAAACGTTATAGCAGAGCTGTGAAACACAACAATTAAAATAAAATAGAAAAAATAAAATAAAATGACTTTGCTTTTACCTTTTTATAGAATTCTCTTATTTAATTAATTTACGGTGCTCGTTTAAAAAAATGAAAAAAGAAAAAGAAAATGTGATCCAAGGATGGGCCCACCATCCGTCTGGTTCGCGGTGCTATAAAATAGCGTTCCACCGCACCAAAAATTATCCCCAATTCGGTGCAAACAAAA